ATAGTTTAAAGTAAGTAGGTAATGGTTGCGAATTAATAATACTACAATTTAAACTACGATTAACGGGAATGACACTACAATCATCACTAATGAAACTGTAATTAATGAATTAGCAACAATGAATCAACATACTTACTGAAAAATTGCCAAGCGATTATCGAGTCTACAATGTTACCGATTGTACATATTGGTATTAACCAAGCCTTGCCAAGCACAGGAATTGAAATTATTCGGTACCTGTAAAAAGAATAATGTTTTAGTGCTTTCGATGCTTTTCATAAACTTTCAGTTTATCACTGTTTTTTGAGAATTTCGATTCACCATCAGCCTTTTAATATCCACCTTGCATGGGCACAGTCCTTCCTTATGGATGGCATAGATTGATCCATCACCCACTAAGCGGACCCAGTGCGGATTGGCGGGTTCTAACGACTGTAGATGCAGCCGGGACCAACTTACGACCACGGAGGAACTCGAGATACAAGATTTTCGGTCACGCATCCATTGACCGAAAATTGCGAAAGTCTCTTAACTTAAACGATCGCAGCCGAACGCGCTAACTACCTGCACCATCCAGCTTCTCTCGAAATTACTTATAGGATTTTTTTTGTGTTAGCGCTTTCTGCGATCAGTCTACACTATAAGCAGAACATTTCAATGTCTTTTCGGGCGTGCGAGATAGCTTTTTCAACAAAAAAGTCTTCTCTCATTGTTCCATACTGATCTCCAGTTAATGCCTGTTTTCCAGCTCACTGATAGTACATTTTTTAATTATTTTGGTGTGTTTGCTAACAGCGGTAAGAGCCACCGCAATTTTATTAACATGGTGAAAAAGCCTGCCCTGGCAGCGCTTAGCTATAGCGTTTATTTCCTCCTTTATAGTGCTGCTTTGCAGGAAGTCGTGCATTTCTATGATTTTCACAAACCATGGAGCATTCAGTATGGTGCGAAACACTGAGTTGTGGAATCGTTGCAGGATTTCTAGGTTTAAGTTACTCGCTGTACCCCAAAGTTTAATGCCGTAAGTCAAAATTGGTTTTAATACCGCTTTATAAATGAGAAGCTTGTTATTCGAACTGAGACGCGAGTGTTTTCCCATTATCCAAAGGAATGAGCGAAAGCGAATAATTAGTTCATCCCTTTTCTTTGGAATATGGGTTTTCCATGTTTGCCTTCTGTCAAGATGTATCCCCAAGTATTTAGCAACATCACATTGTGGAAGCTGTTCTGTTCCAAGTTCAAATGGTGGACAATTTCCTGTCTTCAGCGTAAAAGTTACATGATTGGGTCTGGAGGCACTCGCCTTTATTTTCCATTTTTACATTCACTGGCCAATGGTCGTGAGATGTGCTTGTAACTTCTCAGAAGCAATTCTCGGATCCTTACTGCACTTGATGAGTCAGGTAAATCTGCGGTAAACAGTTTATAAAACATAGGCGAGCACAGATCCCTGCGGAACACCTTGTTTTTACATCGTGGAATCCGTAACGGTCTTCATTCACAACTACTCGGAACATTCTATCTTCTAAGTACGATTGATGAGAGTGGAGAAGTTGTGCGGATAATGTGTCTTAATTTTATATAGAAGGCCTTCGTGCCAAACCTTATCAAAAGCTATAAAGAACGTCTTTAAAGGCGGCAGAACAGTACTGGCTCTACTCCATAGCCATCTTATCTGACTAACCACTCTGTGAACTTGCTCTATAGTAGAATGTCGCTCTCGAAAACCGAATTGGTGATCAGGTATTAGCTTTTTGCTTGACAGTACTTGTCAGTGTAATTAATCGAGTGAGGAATACCTTTTCAAACAATTTAAAGAGTATAGGAATCAAGCTAATGTGTGGATAGGATGGCACCTCATAGTGGTCTTTGCCAGGTTTAGGTATCATAACGATATATGACACCTTCCATGATTTCGGGAAATACGATAAACGAAGAATACTTTTGAAAAGAGCAGTAAGATATACAGTAGCCTTTTTAGGTAGTTTTTTAAGTACTTCAGCTGTCAGTTCGTCATAACCGGGAGCTTTTTTGGTTTAAGTGTTCGAATGGCTATTCTCCAAAAGCTGCAGCCTTCTTCGAATCAGTTTTAGCCCAGCCACCGTTGCGAAGTCTCTATGGATATTCCAGATTTTGCGGTTTACACGGTGATTTAATTGTGTTCCATTAGCAATGCTTCCGACCTCCAGTCGAAAGAGATTCAAGGCGTTGCTGAAGAGTTCCATTTTCAACTTCCTTCAGAAATTGTTTTCGGATGATATATTTAAAACAGTTTTATCTTTGGTTCTTCTGATATTGTGCCAGGTTCTTCTATCTTTTTTATGTAGTAACATTTCTCTAACTGCAAGAGGCCCATTGTGATATTTATAAGTTTTTTTTTGGTTAGCTAGTGTACTTAGCCAACATGCTGTCTGTATAATTTTAAGTTATTGTCATAGTAGCTTCTTCTAACTGATCTTCCGTCTTCAAAGGAACTCTAAAGTCTTTGTCAATTTACTCTCTAAATGCTTCCCAATTTGTATTCGCGTTGTAGGTATGTCGTCTTTGTTGCCTTTCGATTAATGTAATGCTGTGGCTATGATTGGTACATGATCAGAGGCACTATCATAACTTGTTTTAGTTTTCATTTAGAGCTCTGTGATACCGCTGAAGACAAAGAAATCTATCAAGTCCCCTGACTTGATTTTCGATTCACCATCAGCCTTTTAATATCCACCTTGCATGGGCACAGGCCTTCCTTATGGATGGCATAGATTGATCCATCACCCACTAAGCGGACCCAGTGCGGATTGGCGGGTTCTAACGACTGTAGATGCAGCCGGGACCAACTTACGACCACGGAGGAACTCGAGATACAAGATTTTCGGTCACGCATCCATTGACCGAAAATTGCGAAAGTCTCTTAACTTAAACGATCGCAGCCGAACGCGCTAACTACCTGCACCATCCAGCTTCTCTCGAAATTACTTATAGGATTTTTTTTGTGTTAGCGCTTTCTGCGATCAGTCTACACTATAAGCAGAACATTTCAATGTCTTTTCGGGCGTGCGAGATAGCTTTTTCAACAAAAAAGTCTTCTCTCATTGTTCCATACTGATCTCCAGTTAATGCCTGTTTTCCAGCTCACTGATAGTACATTTTTTAATTATTTTGGTGTGTTTGCTAACAGCGGTAAGAGCCACCGCAATTTTATTAACATGGTGAAAAAGCCTGCCCTGGCAGCGCTTAGCTATAGCGTTTATTTCCTCCTTTATAGTGCTGCTTTGCAGGAAGTCGTGCATTTCTATGATTTTCACAAACCATGGAGCATTCAGTATGGTGCGAAACACTGAGTTGTGGAATCGTTGCAGGATTTCTAGGTTTAAGTTACTCGCTGTACCCCAAAGTTTAATGCCGTAAGTCAAAATTGGTTTTAATACCGCTTTATAAATGAGAAGCTTGTTATTCGAACTGAGACGCGAGTGTTTTCCCATTATCCAAAGGAATGAGCGAAAGCGAATAATTAGTCAGTGTAATTAATCGAGTGAGGAATACCTTTTCAAACAATTTAAAGAGTATAGGAATCAAGCTAATGTGTGGATAGGATGGCACCTCATAGTGGTCTTTGCCAGGTTTAGGTATCATAACGATATATGACACCTTCCATGATTTCGGGAAATACGATAAACGAAGAATACTTTTGAAAAGAGCAGTAAGATATACAGTAGCCTTTTTAGGTAGTTTTTTAAGTACTTCAGCTGTCAGTTCGTCATAACCGGGAGCTTTTTTGGTTTAAGTGTTCGAATGGCTATTCTCCAAAAGCTGCAGCCTTCTTCGAATCAGTTTTAGCCCAGCCACCGTTGCGAAGTCTCTATGGATATTCCAGATTTTGCGGTTTACACGGTGATTTAATTGTGTTCCATTAGCAATGCTTCCGACCTCCAGTCGAAAGAGATTCAAGGCGTTGCTGAAGAGTTCCATTTTCAACTTCCTTCAGAAATTGTTTTCGGATGATATATTTAAAACAGTTTTATCTTTGGTTCTTCTGATATTGTGCCAGGTTCTTCTATCTTTTTTATGTAGTAACATTTCTCTAACTGCAAGAGGCCCATTGTGATATTTATAAGTTTTTTTTTGGTTAGCTAGTGTACTTAGCCAACATGCTGTCTGTATAATTTTAAGTTATTGTCATAGTAGCTTCTTCTAACTGATCTTCCGTCTTCAAAGGAACTCTAAAGTCTTTGTCAATTTACTCTCTAAATGCTTCCCAATTTGTATTCGCGTTGTAGGTATGTCGTCTTTGTTGCCTTTCGATTAATGTAATGCTGTGGCTATGATTGGTACATGATCAGAGGCACTATCATAACTTGTTTTAGTTTTCATTTAGAGCTCTGTGATACCGCTGAAGACAAAGAAATCTATCAAGTCCCCTGACTTGATAGATTTATTTGTCTAACCCTTTACGTAGTGGATTAGAAGGGTAATATGTTGGCTGTCTAATCGTAAGTATGCCAAAGAGCCTATTATCAATTCAACTCTTGAGTTCTCTACTCCTTGGTAGTGTCTTGCTGGATCTCTAGGCTACATGCTTCGCATTCCAGTAGCCGCCCATAATAAATCTCGGTCCTAAGGTAGAGAAGAAAGAAGTGAACGCTTTTAAGTAAATTTTTGGCCTAGGCGGATAATATATTGAGGATATATTCAAGTCGTTGTGTTTGCATTGTACGGGTATTATTGTGGCTTGCTTAAGTACCGTTTGATATTGCGGCAATACGTAGTATTTCAATTTGTTCCTCACTATTATCGCAGAACCTACGTGACCAGTTCCATCTGGATGGTTGGTTGAATAAATGCAATTGCAACTTATAGGAAATAAAATTATTAAGTACGTCTCACTTACGTACGTTACGTACTAATCTGCCCATAAGTGATTGAGGCTTATGAGGTTTGATCTGTCAATGATATGAGCATAATATTTCCTGTGTTACTCCAACTTATGAATCTTTTTCTTCCTTTTTCAGAGACTGAATACAACAGAATGCCGCCACTGTTTGCGCTGGACGATTATTCGTCCTGCCTGGAGGGTGGCGGGGGACATTATTGCGTTGCTGACTTCGGTTTGGTCGGCCATACCCCTCTGATGCACATGATTAAGGTAATTCATCAGCATGTATCTCTCTTTCTTTAGTTGTTATATTTGATTTTAGAACTGTACTCTGAAAATCTTTAACACTGGATGTATTCTTTCTTCCTAGTATAGTCCAATTTAAACTTTTACCGGTAGTAAAGGAAAGGTTACAAGTTCAGTGGCATCCTACGCGTGCCATCATCATCATTATCAGCCTTTTGATGTCCCCACTGCTGGGGCACAGACCTTCCCTTTGTATGAAATATGGAATAACGCGCGCCAACATCCTATAATTACCAGTAGATCCCTTAGCTAGATCCATGAAGACTCTAGTGAGAATTTATTTTCTCATTAGATTTCAAGCTATGAAACAAGTCCTAAACTAGTTTTACACATAACTTGTAGAATACTTGTTGTGACACGCTTTCGTTTACACTGCATAGACAACGAGTATCTTTACACGTATCAATCATTATTTACTTCACATATTTTTTGAATCCAACAAGTTTGATGTAAGTATTGTATACTACATGTTTTATAACTACATGTTTAGAATAAGTGTGAACAAAAAAAAATATTATGACATTGACGAAGGGTTAGGGGTTCCATGCTGGATACCTGATATATCTCAAACGTCCTTGCTTATGATTGTTTTATGCGCCGCGACATGAGTCAACTTGAGTACATTGTGCTAACAAGAGTAGGTAGACCACCTTGTTTATAAATAAATTTTATTATAATTATAGTACTGTTTGGTGTTAAACTCATGAAATCATTTCATAACATATTAATATACGAGTGCAACATCAATTCAGTATTAAATAGACTTTAAGCGTAAATAAACAATGCAAGAAACGTGTACAGTCTTCCAAGAAAACCAACGGGGAAATTGATAATGACAAGTTCCACGATATGTCGTGCAATTACGGAGTTGGCATCACCTGCAATTAAGTTACTGCATAATATGGTGCACGTTGAAATTATAAAGGTAAAAATATGTATAATGATTATTTATTATAACGACTATAATGATATTTTATAAGTAAGGGAGTGCCTGAGAAAAATAATTCAGATAAAATTGGTTTCGATTTAATATCTAGCAGATTAGTGGCATATTATGTGCATATCTATACCACGGTTAGGGTTCTCCCTTATCCCACATTCCTTTTAATTTCACATTACCCCTTCCCTTAAGAGGACTAGGTACAAGCGCTGGCCCATACGATGCCATCGGCTTACTGTGACTACGTTTCTTACACCAACAAAGAGATTTAAGCCCGTATTATAGAAAAATTCTCAGTGATTGATCTAGTCTTGAGCATAGTTAGAAAGGGAGGTCGCTATATATAGCACATAACGATATCCCTTTCTAACTGTACTCAAGTAAAGATCAACACTTAGTTGTCATTCTGTAATACGGGCCTTAGTGACTCATTTCATTGTCTTACTATTCGCTAGTGGAATCCTTTACCCGCGCATGCGTTTGCTCCTTCCTATCATCTGAGGTCTTTTAAAAGATGCACGAAGAAGCAGTTCTACAGACCAGTAAGGTAAAGATGGCAGGTGTGGCATAGCTGTTGAACCAGCTAAATTCGTGTCTGGATTTTACCACTACTTAACATTAGCTGGGTATAAACGAAAGATATTAAAAAGAAAATTAAAGTAATAAAAATCAGCTCTATGGTGACATAAAATTGACATATATAAATATATAAAGGTATAAACATCAATGAGTAGTTGATGATATACTTTGGCCACCTTTTCGGTCGGTAACACAAAGACCAAATTTATTAACGAAAGAAATAAAAAAGAAAATTAAAGAAATAAGAACCAGCTCTATGGTGATGTGAAATTGACAGAATAACATTTACTTTTTAAAGGTATAAACATCAATGAGTAGTTGATAATATACTTTGACCTCCATTGTCGGTAACACGGGGGTAGGATCATTTGGCTTTCAAGCATTCAAAATAGCTTATCTTAGCTATATTTACATAAAATGATCGATTTAAAAAAAATGTATCTATCTTAGTAATTTTGGTAATATCCTTAATATTGATTTGAATACCTTTTATAATTATGTTTCCCAAGAATGAAAGACTGAGTTTCTTATTCCAACACAGCCATATAGTTCACAGTGTTAAAGGCGCTATTAAGCGTAACATTGCACAGTTCATTGTATATACATAACTAGTGGCCCGCCCTTGCTTTACTTCGGTGTACAGCTGTAGTGTAGACTATAGTTTTTGTTCTCAGGATTAGATTAATGCACCTTTTTTGTTGAATGCGCTAATCTCAGGAAATAATGGTCATATTTGAAAAAAAACTTTTAGTGTTGAATAGTGCATTTATCTAGGAAGACTACAGGCTATATGAAATCATGCTACATCCAATAGGAGCGGAGCATCAATGAAAAATGATAGAAAATCCTTTAAAAATTCCATTTCTGAGCTTCCGTTGCATGCGCTGGGTAAACGGTTATAGTTAGACAAAAATCATGTATGACAGGATTGTTCCCCTTTAAAAGTTCTATAAAAATGTCCGCGACAGTATATTTCCATCTTTTAGGTTTGACTCACTATAACCTTTTTCCTCGGATTAACGCGGGTGAAATCGCAGGAGACCTCTAGTTGTGACAGAACTGTAATAGTTAGACGTATGGTATTGCGGACTGTTTTGTAGATATTGATGTCTTCTACAACACTTCAGTACATCACTTTGCTTTATTGTCAATGACTTCCACAGCGCACGTGATAAAAGGTAATTTTTTGTTTTTTTTTCACACGTTGGATGAAACATACATATCGAAGTTTTCATACGGAACCCAAACTTTTTGGAAATAATCTATAACTTGTATTCATTAGGGGTAAAGTAAGATTCTAAACGCGAAAGAATTTTTCTATTCGGTCCAGTAGTTTCGGGGCATATTCAATACAAACTAACAAACAAATCTTTCCTCTTTATATATTAGTATAGATTTATGGTCCAGCAGCTTATCATTAAAACAGATGTAATTACAGAAAACCTGTCATTGAGAGATCACCTTTCGTCTCGGGAGTTCGACGACAAGCATATAATTATTTGCCAGGAAAACAAAACCATCAGCTGAGAGACTAATCGTTGTTAAACCCAGTGGAAGTCAGATGAATGTAAAAACTATTCATACATTGCTTACTAGCTATTAAATTCTTTGTCTCAGTACTGCCAAGTAAGCGTATTGTGTCTCACAATCACAATTTATATTATAAGATTTAATAACTTAATATTTTCACCTTTCTCCTCTTCTCTTAATGGACTTTATGCTCCAAGACATAGTTTTTAATTAAAATCGTCTATTTCACACCTAAAAGTTCCGCCACCATGTTATATTTTTTTTATGAGAGTTTAGTATATACTTACTTATTGTACCAAAACCTCAAACTCCACTTACTGACCTTTAAAAAAAGGCACCTTATTAATTTTGTGCAAAAGTTCACCAAGGTCAAGGTCATGTTACGATGAGTCTCGCATATTGCTAAGAGGCTTTTACCTCCTATACCTTGTCTCTAAGTTTGGCTTCTAGATTATGATCTTTAATGTTACAGTTTATGCTATTGACACCAAATGCTTCCAATCTAAAATGACAATTGGTCTGATCTTCAGTTATAAGTTTTGGTAGGAAATTTTATTATTTATTGCATAACTATTGAAATAAGATAGATATACATTATCAATATCAAATAATTTAATGCATTCATGTATTTACAGAGATGGTTAAAATAACACACACTTAAAAACTATATAGTTTTATCTACTAACCTACATAAATAAATAATTTACAATATAAAAACCATCAGCGCCGCCATCGGGAATGGTGCCTAATACAGCATTGCCGCGTGTGGAGCTCGATGGCGCAAGTGGTTAGCGCGTTCGGCTGCGATCGTTGAAGTAAAGCACCTTTCGCAGTGGTCGGTCATTGGATGGGTGACCAAAAATTTACTATCTCGAGCTCCTCCGTGCTTCGGAAGGCACGGTAAGCCGTTGGTCCCGGGTGCATCTGCAGTCGTTAGCACCCTCCAATCCGCACTGGGCCCGCGTGGTGGGTCATGGATCCATAGGGAAGGCCTGTGCCCCAGCAGTGGGGACATTAATAGGCTGATGATGATGTTGATTGCCGCATTGGATGACAAGGCTGATCCGTTGACCAAGATAGCTGCAAGCCTTTTTCAGTTCACAATTATTATTATTTTACAATTACACTATTAGTTATTTTTACAATGAGTGCAAGAACGGTAACTACCAGCTATATATCTGATCAAACATCGCCAATAAAACAACTTGATGGTTTTCAAGAATTTAATTTTATACTAGTTAGGGTTAAACTTAGTAGCTTTAATATGTTTATGAGCGCTTTGTTTTTTTAAATGTTACAATTGTGCAGCGCTCTTTACTTAAATTATTTCTTATGTGTTCTACTTGTGACAAGTCCAGGGCATTAAAATTTAAGGACAAGATTTTCTAAAAAGATATACTATAACTGCATGACATAAAAAGTGTGTCGCGTTTAAATTAACAAGGAGATATGAAATACCTAGAAAATATTATTAAAGTTTTCAAATGTTTAAATAGATTTAGGGATAATCATCAAAAACTTTGCTAAATAATTAAGTTTTAATACATCTCCAAACCTAAAAAACAGACACATATACTTACAATAATAAAAAGATGTTTATATCGTTTAAGTTTATTCCAGATTTTTTTGTTTACAGGAATACTCAGAATACCGGTTGAAACATTACAATCATACTCAAATACATCGAGGGATATGTTTGACGAAAACCTGTCAAGAATTCAGAATAGATCCCGTCTTTAATAGTACAAGGAGCACAAGGATGACCCTTGAGGCATGCCTAAACGACACCATTTACAGAGAATACAAATTGCAAGCGAAGGTAGAAAATCTACGGTATTGCAAAAGATCGGAAGACAAAAGAACACTAGATGGTTCTGACGTTGCAGTAGGCATAGTTTATTTAATAATAATAGGTCTAAATACCCTGGGGACCTTGTACGATGAATGTAGAAAGGATAAGAAATCAGGTAAGCTCATGGTGATTATAATTGTTGAATATTGTTTGCGACCACTTAGCAAATGCCATGATAGCGGGTTCCAATCAAATACTGGTGCAAATGATGACGATGCGGATGTCATACAAATTGAGACTGTTGGCGTGATAAAAATGTTGTAATGACATATTTGTTGTTGAAAGGACAATTATAACTTTACGCTTTGATTAAATATTCGATTTTTTAAAATAACTATTGATGCTTTGGGCCCTTTTGCCACTCCGTATCAAAATAATATTGAAGTAAAAAGTAAATCTTAAAAACTCGCATCGTAATAGCCAGTTGTAATTTATTCAATAAAATGAAATGATTCTAATTATTATTACTTTTTCCAGGAAATCCATATTTATTAGCTTTTTCATTACGCCGTAACTGGGCTAAATTAGTAGCACCAAGCGGCAAAAATCCAGATCCGAGAATGAGTAGATTAAAAGTGTTTCATGGGTTAAGGTAAGTTTGTTCTTTATTATGTAATCTTATTAATATAAAATACTTCAGTACCGCAAGCACGAACAACAATCGAGAAAGGGGCCGTCCATATACTAGGGGGGGGGGGGGGGGGGGGTTGGTCTGCGGATGACGGTAAATGATAGATGGGGGCGGGGGGGGGGGGGGGTGTTTCGAAATTGACGTCATTCTTATTTATTTATTTATAGTTTATTGTTCACGTACAAAAGGATTATTTCTAAAAAGAAATTTCTTCCAGCACGCCTAGTAAGTGAGACTGCAACTGTGAGAGGCGGCTAAGGCGCGTACAATACTAAAATAAACATACATAATGCAACATAGATGTACACAAATACAGTAATAACTACAGATAAAATACTCTAACAATAATATTACATACAATGACGATAGGATGATTGTAGGGGGGGGGGGGGTCTAAAATCTGAAAAAATCGATGACGTAATTTATGGACGGCCCCAAAGCAGTATCGTCATCGTCAAGATTTCTATGGTATCTAAGCAGCGCCCCGCTGTCGGACATAAGAACAAAAAAACTTCTTCCATAGAAACTTTGACGATGATGATAATAGTACTTTCTACTTAGATTAATATATTATATTATTTATTAATATATTTAATGTTTTCAACATTATCGTCTTCTATGCGACATGAAAATAATTCCACTATGATACTTAAAGTTCATAAGAAAAGTTTTTGATTTTTTTAATATCGTCAGTTTTATGAAACCACGAACCAAGCGAAACTTTTAAGACATTTTATAAAAAAATCCATCCTTGGCTGTGATTCTATAACCACTGCTTGAACCACCGATGCTTGCTGATTATTTCAGATATTATCAAATACCTGAAATTTGAATAACAACTAAAAAAGTAATGCGAAATGCTAAAGACGAACGAAAAAAACGTGGCGATATAATAAAATTTTCACTTTAATAATTCGTAAAATGGCAACTGAACTTTTCACGTTGGTGATGAAGTAAAGAAGTATTAGTTAATACTGTGATCATTTTTTCAGGTCAATGACAATGATCTGCGTTCTCTTCTCACACACGGTTCTTCTCATAGCTTATGCATACAGTGATAACCCATTATTTATTGAAAGGGTGAGTTCTGAATTCATAATTACATCAATTACCTAACTACAATTTAATAATTACTGTGACTAAGTTTAAGCCCAGAGGGCTGAGCACGAAAAACTAACGAGAAAGTATTCGAATCGCCATTGTCAACGTTTCAATGAAAACTAAGTAGCGCTCCCTACATGCATAATAAAGAAGCGCCTCCAATAGAAACTGATGATTTCGATACGAATACTTATTCGCTAGTTAGCAACTGCTCATCCTTCAGTTCATTAAATTAGTTTATTTTAATGTAAATGAAACTAGTTTTAGCGGGTTAATGCACGAACTTTATTTATTTATTGACGTTTTCAGTACGCAGCCTTTTCAGGTCTGCATCGTCAGAATAATGATTTTTTATTTACTTTGTCGAGCTACCTTCGAAAGACTTTTATTGAGCGTTCGGATATTTCATTGGAAGATTTTTAAATTTTTATTGTCTATGTATGAATTTATTAGTTAATTTAGTTAATAAAGTACTTTTTTTGTAATTTTGAGTTTATTTATTTGACCCTAACTACCGTAAACTACCACTGGTTGCAAAATTGGGAGACCATTCTGAGAAGAACCGGCGAAACAAACTCAGAGAGGCTTTCTATCTCCTTCTTATGTTAAATTATGCAAACAAAAAGAACTGATAGTATCTGTTGGTCTTGCAGTATGTGCTCGGGGTTGGGATTTTATCTCTTACTTAAGTTCGTGCATTAACCCGTTAAAACTAGTTTTATTTAATGGGTGATGTGCGTGAAAACCTAAGAAACAAATTATTTTAAAGTAATTAACCAACGAACTTAAATTCGTAATTTAAATAAACAAATTTCTACAAATTATGCCAGTTTAAACCACTATTCACCCCCAAAATCAGTAAAACTTGTATTCTGAATACAATACATACTTTTACCCGTATAGCGGAGGGTTCGAATTCTGTCTGTTGCCTGGACCGCGTGGTTTTTTTTTTCTAGTAATATTTTCTCTAGATTTAGATACCAATAGGGTATTTGACAGTATTAAAAATAAAGTGTCAATTATTAGCATCTGTGTTTTGAATGAATATTCGCAGGGGTTTTTACTATTTTTACAAAATTAAATATTCACAATTTTACTAAAAACCCACGAAAAAGATAATAGTTTTCTTATCTATTGTCACCTGACCCAAAACGCTTGGGATTGGCGAAGCCTAAAATGACGTCACACGCAAGTAAACTTCCGGTTAAAGTGACATTACATTGTATCGTTTGCCGTTTTAATAACAGTCGTGTGACGTCACACACTAGTAAGACGCCATATTGTCCAGAAAAAGTTTTCGCGGCAACTTGAAAATGGAGTTTTTGATTTGGTTATTTTTACTGAAATACACTACAGAATGATGAATCCACTTTTTACGGACTCCATAAACATAAGTCAATAACGTGAGATCGTTTTCTAAAACTTGTCAAATACCCTATTAATTTATGAATCTGCAAAATGATAATGAACATATATTGTTAATCTTCAGGCATACGATGACCCACTGAAGCAGATACTATTCAACGGCAGCTTGGTGGTGCATACTTTCTTTGTGACCTCAAGCTTTCTGATGGCGTACAACTTACAAATTGCCTCTGAAAAGAAAAACTTTTCGCTGATGGCTTGGCCCCAAGGGATATTGATGAGATGGCTGAGGTGATTATATTTATTTATAGCAGAACATAACATTCAATAGTATAAGGAATAATGTCAATTGAAAAAAAGTGTATTAAGTAAAATGGTGCCACGACGATAATAACGGGAAATTAAATATTTATATTTAATTCAAGCTGCCATAAGCAGATGATTAGATTATGGGAAGCACGATGGCGCAGGTCTTTACGAAGTTAAGCGCAATTTCGCAGTGGCCAGTCATTGGATGCATGACCAAAAATTTACTATCTCGAGCTCCTTCGTGCTTCGGATGGCACGTTAAGCTGATGGTCCTAGCTGAATCTGTAGTAGTAAGCACCCACCAACCCGTACTAGGTCCGCGTGGTGGGTCGTTGTCCAATCTTTCTATTCCATCTTTAGTAAAGGCCTTGTTCCAGCAGTGGGGGCATTAATAGTCTTATGATGATGATGACCATTTGAGAGGAACAGCCAGTCCAGTGGCAAGAGTCCATCTGACGGAGATGAAGGTCAGATGGATGCTTGCCGGTCGCTTGATTGAAGAGAAAGTTTTTTAATTTTTAGAATGGTTTTAATACTTTATGTTATTTGCGATTCCTCGATATTTCGGCACTGTTGCAAGCACCATGATCACGGACTAACTAGTAGAAGTAATTGTGGGTAGGATGTTAAACGTATCGATCTACCCTCTGATGAAGTTAGAGACCTACCATAGTTTGTTTATCTATAGATTTATTGTTGTTACACACACGCGGAAGATGTAGATAACGTGGTTTGTGATTGATTGAGAGATAACAAAGATGATGTCGAATTTCACCTGGAAGACTAAAATGGTATTAAATCCAAAATTAACTTTACCTTAGATCCATCTCGTAAATAACATAAATTTATAAAAGTTAGTGACCATTAAAGTATAAAACAATACATTGAATGGTACCTATTGTTCGCAGACTGACGCCAGCATACGCTTTAGTATTGGCGACGATATCAACTTGGATGCGGCATTTAGGCACGGGTCCTCTATGGGATCTCGTGGTTGTCAGCGAATCTAATGCTTGCCGCCAATATTGGTGGGCGCATCTCCTATACATCAACAACTATGTGTACAAAGATGCATACTGCGCACCGCAAACATGGTGAGAACGTTTATCTCTCAAGGTAATAAAGGATTTCGTCTATCGGATGGTCTTCGTATAATGGATTTGGAGATGACGCTGGCGTGGATCAAGACTTGGGCTAGTGTATGCTTTAGTATAGGCAACGAAATCCAGATGCGGCTTATAGGTATTGGCCCTCTATGAGACCTAGTGGTCGTTAGCGAATCTAATACTAGTCACCAATACTGGTGGGCGCATCTGCTGTACATCAACAACTATGTGTACAACAATGCGTTCTGCGCATCGCAAACATGGTGAGAATGTGTTGAATTTTAATCTCTAAGTTTTTTTATGTATACGCAGGCAAAAGACTTGACAGTTTATTTGACGGTAAGTGGTCACTACAGCACTCATGCTTTGCCGGTTCTGAAGGAAATACTTAACGCGCATTTTGAAGACCGTTATTATCAAAGATAAAAGCGAAGTTCGTTCCATATCTTACTGTTAAGCAAGAAAAAAACGTGCGTAATGGTAGGTTCTATGTCTATGAATCAATTCTTGGGTAATGATTCTCCATGAAACTTATTAATTGTAGATACATAACTCAATAGCAACAAATAAAAACTGTAAATGTACTTATCTGAAGTCTTATTTGAGGTAAAATATACTTCAGAGACAAGCCTCTAAATTACAAATAAACTTAATTAATTCAGGGGTCCATTACAATTAATGCAGGCATTATTATTTTAAATGTAATTTGCAGGGGACAAAATTTAAGGCATGTAAATTTGTGCGTTAAATAATGTCAATCCTCATGCTGTAAATCACTATCGTAAAAAGCGAGAGAGAGGGAAGATTTATTAACTAACCATGATACATTCAGATACCTTATTTGTTTTCGATATGTGGCTTCATTAAAGGCGTACGTAAAGCTGTCTTTAAACTGAGGCTTTAAATCATTCATTTATCTCTTTCTAGGTATTTGGCAGCCGATACGCAACTGTTCTGCCTAGGCTTGCTGCTCTGCTTAGCATTCAAAACTTTGAAATCTCGGCTAGCAGCCATTGGCGTGGTGCTGTCAATAGGCTTGATCATAGTCGCACTGCATACTTACTTCGAAGACTTGGATGCTGTGGTCCTTCAGAGCCCTGAGTGAGTATTGTCTTATTTTTTTATGTTAAAAGGGTCCAGCAAACGTATGGCCCGCCTGTAAGTGACCACCATAGTCTATAGATGGTTGCGATACAAAAACAAATGGGTGCGTGTACTTATGTAGGCGCGTGAGAAGTTATACTTCTTTGGCATCGTTTAAAATTAGTTTTTAATTGCATGCAAATAATTAATTACAATAAATTAATAAAAAGTCTGGAAAAGGACACAGTCAATAAAGTTCAGTTTTAATTTTAAAAAATAAATAAATAATCAAAATATTCAATTCAAATCGCTACTGAATATAATTTATTAGAACATATGTGATTTGCACTTGTATGAAACTCAAACACGTATTCCGAATATACAAACTAGAAACATGTGGATAAATATTATAAATATGAATACCTATAACTGTTACTTTATTACAAAAAATAAAGATGTGGTTTTTGGTTCTACTACACCAATGGTCAAGAGATGGCGCTGTAGTCTCCTGAATCGCGCTTTGGTTCCGTTGTTCCAGATTAATAAATACTTTTGATAGGCCTTCACAATGCAGTCGTTAGCACCCACTAAATAGAGATTCTATTTCTATTTTGTTGGTAGATTTTCTTAATGTGCGGTAAACACAAAAGTAATAGCATGAGGTTTGACCAACTTCATGCTGTTAAAATTTTGTGTTACAGTGATGCGCGCGCATCTTAAAATTTCACTCTCATCATTTTTTCATAACGCGCCTAAAGAAGTATAACTTCAATATCGCTCGCGTTGTTGCCCCGACCCTCCCCTTACCTACCCCTGGAGCCCTGGTATCTTACTCACTGACAGACACACAACACCACCCTGTGTTATTTAACTCTTTTCTTCTGTAAGGAGGAGGTTACTTCCTTAGACGGGCGTTCCAATTCGAGCAGAAAAGCCGCCCTACTTCACTTAAAGTTTAGTTTTTAAGTTTGTTTAGAACAATTTATAATATTAGAATTAGGGTGTAGTATTAATTAGTTATATCAAATTCATGTTGTAAAAGCTGGTGTAGTTTCAATCAGTAACAACACACAAAACATGAGCATCTAATTAAGATTAATCGGCGTTGAGAAATAAAAAAAAGTTGAAAAGCTGCAAATATATTAAATGCTCATTAAATGCAGACAAAAATAAACTGCTTCTAATTTAAAATCTAATATTTGGCCTCAAAAGGAATCTTAAGCATGTAATGATGCATGACAGACGAATAAAATTATGTCAATGCTATTTGAGTTCGATGAAGTAGTGACCTAGCGTCTGCGCTTGTGGAAGTTCAGCAACTTTCGAAATGGACATAGTGTGAGTGACCCAAGCATTTTACTGGGTACTCGGAAGGCCTTGCCCTAGAAGTGGGGCTCTTTATTCTATTTTAAAAGAAAGCCTTGCCCTTGCCGTGAGGATATGCCAATGATGATGAATATTAAGACTATATTTCGTTTGTTTCTTGAACAGAACGTATCGTAACTTGTATGCGACAGACAACACGTTCCGGCTGAGTTACATCAGGGGACACACCAATCTCTCCACTTACTGTTTGGGACTAACCGCCGGCTTCCTTACTTATTACTGGCAGAACCAAAAGAAGCAATACAACCAACGGAAGGTAGGCCGTCAATTTATCCTATAGTTTTTCCTTTCTAGCTTCCCTCTCTGTCTTGGCTTACTATAGAAAAGTAGTGCCTCTTATTGAAAAAAATCAAACGGGAATAATGGTGAAGTCTTTGTGTTTTAGGAATTAATTTATCCCCTCCTCCAACTAATGAAGATTATTAAAGTTATTAGTGGGATTGCTTCCATGTACACTTATTGTTTGTGAGTCCCACTGAGAGAGAGAGAGAGAGAGAGAGAGAGAGAGAGAGAGAGAGAGAGAGAGAGAGAGAGAGAGAGAGAGAGAGAGAGAGAGAGACAGAGAGAGAGAGAAACATTTAATTGACCACATCACAAAACAACATACAAAAAATAAAATTGAAAATTATACTTAGTTAATGAATAGAGTAAAGAAAAAAAAAAACAGATTCATTATAGTATCATTTGCGGTAAATCAGGACCCTGCCTCAGCATAATGCTACCGCAATACGCCACAAAAAGTGTCACAACAGCGCTGGTATTTTGGCAGGGCCTGTTATGCCGGAACATGGCCAATCGCATCAGCCACCCGCAAACTCGACAGTTAACAACACAATTAACTCATCATGTCCAGTGTTAAGAGATCCTGCATTAAAAAGCCCAACTGTTAAATCTTTAATTCTATTCATTCTTTGTGTGTCCCGTTGTCAGATTTATGCTATAAATATAATGATTCGTGCAATAGATATAACGACAACGATATACATACGACATTATATGAAAATTAAAAAATAAATAAAATTATGCAGCCAGAGTTAACACATAATAGCCAAACTTGACTAAGCTTACGAAGCATCGTAGGAAACAACTGATTTAGAACACAATTAAAAAATAAAGACTTGTTTGTCAATAAACAAGGTTCAAGCCAATTGTATTTAGCAATGGAGCATGTTACGAGTTCAAGACTCGTCTACGTCACTCATACGTCACGCGTACATTATGTGTTTCCCAAGTGCAGGTGGCTCGATTGAGCAATCTTGTTGAAAAGTGCTTATTAGACAGATTTAGTTAATGTAAAACCTTCGGACAGTTTTGGGAGTTGCTTGAGCTTCAATCGTGGAAGCATCTTGACGTACAGTTTGTAAGACCGGATCATCGGGATCAATTAGTATAAGTAAATTTGTATAACATTTAAATAAATAAAGTAATAATTAAAAGTTTAGTTTTTAAAAACCCTACCTGACGGCTCAATTCCGTAATTGGCGCAGTCGGTAGGATAGTCGAGTCAGTGTGAGCATCATACTTCGATCCACCTGATAGTCGTGTCGTCGGCGTGTCGACTATCTCTACGAATCTACGCGAAGCAGTCGTCAGACGGGAAAGAAGAATCAACTTCGAAAACCGGCGCTAATCCAAAAATCGATGGCCCATCACCACACTAAGCTAAGCATCCTGCTCCTGTGAGTTTTATTATATAAGTTACGTATTCCTATTGGTTGCCAGCGATCCCTTTCCTGTCTCCCGTAGGACGTAATAAATAAATTAAATAAGTTTTTTTTATAGTTAGAAAGATTGCTAGATATTCCTATTGGCTGACAGCGGCCCCTTTCCTGTCTCCCGTAGGACTTAATAAGTAAATTAATTAAGTTTTCTTCTAATAGTTTAGAAAGTTTTCAAGATTTTTTTTCCAAAGAAAAGTAGAGATATAGGACCGAATCTGCGGCGCAGTATTCGTCCTAATTCTAGCGAATTAAGGTTTCATCGCGAAATCGATTTATCTACATTAGAAAGCATAGAAGAAGAAATGGCGACCGAACAACAATCTGTTGCTAATTCAAACGATATGACAGACAGGATTTGGAAATCTTTAAGGCTAGTTCCTGAGTTTGATGGAAATTCTAACATTTTAATTAGATTTTTGAACATTTGCGACCAACTGATTTTAACATATGTTAATCCAGCTCCGGGAAATGAACTAAATAATTACGCTTTAATTAATGGAATTTTAAATAAAATAACCGGGCCTGCTGATAAAACATTAGCAACAAATGGCATCCCCCAGGACTGGAATGGCATAAGAAATGCGCTAATTAACAGCTTTTCGGATCACAGAGACGAGTCCGCCCTATACACCGATTTATCTATGTTAACTCAAGGTTCCGATACACCACAAATATTTTACGAGCAAGTTCAAAATTTACTTAGTATAATTTTGACCTATGTAGAATTACACGAACAAATTAAAACAACAGTTGAAGCTAAACGTGAACTACAAAAAAATTTGCTCTTCAGAGGCCTAGCCGAGCCTTTAGGCACGGTAATATTATCTATACAGTATTGTGACTCCGCCCTGTCCTTGTAAATAAATGCCTACGGCCGAGCGCTGCGTTAGCACGCGGTAGGGCCGCCCGCCTACAGTATTTTATGTAGTTTTGTTTTTAACGCGAGTGTAGGTAGATTACTCGTTTGTCTCTTTTTTCATCCTAACCACTTATTTATATATTATTCCAGATATTTTGCCCGATGGCCTAAATATTAGAAACAAATTACGTACTAGTAGATAGGTATATAAAAAATATTCTATAAAGGTTCCTTTACCTTTCCAACCTTTTACCGGTTATTGGAACGAAGTTCCTTACGGCAGGCTTGGAGGGGATAGGGATTTTGCTGTGCGACCGAACTGAAAAAAATGTGATAGTAAAACCGTAAGAAAAAATGCGTGGAATAAAACCGTTAAATGAGACGTGCGCAGGCGCGACGAAGTTCCTTACGGCAGGAGAGAGAGCGACGAGGGTGCATCACTGAAATATTGTGATATTACACCAACACTGAATATGTGTGAAGTTATAGGGAGTGGTAGAGCGACGAGGGTGCATCACTGAAATATTGTGATACTACACCAACAGTGAATATGTGTGAAGTTATAGGGGGTGGTAGAGCGACAAGGGTGCATCACTGAAATATTGTGATATTACACCAAGACTGAATATGTGTGAAGTTATAGGGAGTGGTAGAGCGACGTGGGTGCATCACTGAAATATTGTGATACTACACCAACAGTGAATATGTGTGGAGTTATAGGGGTTGGTAGAGCGATAAGGGTGCATCACTGAAATATTGTGATATTACACCAACACTGAATATGTGTGAAGTTATAGGGGGTGCCGAGCGACGGGGCTGCATTACTGGATTATTGTGACATTGTAGTTTATTATAAACTGTGGGTCAGTCCTGCCTAGCAATCTTTACGAACACTAGCTGACCGAACTGAAAAAATGTGAAAATGTGATAGTAAAAACGTAAGAAAAAATCCGTGGAAAAAAGTGCGTGGAATAAAACCGTTAAATGAGACGTGCGCAGGCGCGACGAAGTTCCTTACGGCAGGCTTAGAGGGGATAGGGATTTTGCTGCGCGTCCGAACTGAAAAAAATGTGATAGTAAAACCGTAAGAAAAAATCCGTGGAAAAAAGTGCGTGGAATAAAACCGTTAAATGAGACGTGCGCAGGCGCGACAGTCGCATACACAAGCGAGTTTGCAATTTGTGTCGATTCTACATTAGCCGAAGGAACTTCGTTCCTATCTGGTGTCCCACGACACCGCATCATTTCTTTCCAATATTTCAGGTATTTTAAAAAATGATATCTCTGGGTGTGTTATTGAAGAGTTCAAGCAACCAAAAACAGCAATTGTGCTGTTTTACGATATTGATCGTCGTTTGTTCTTTTCCATACTAAATTATGTAGGTATCTACTAATTAAATCAAATATTTACAATACAAAACGCACGTTTAAGCACGGCTAACTGCATAAAAAACAATTCAGACCGTTCGGTCGTCGTTGCGGCGCGGCGGCGCATTCGCGGCTGGGTGCCCGCCGAGAGCACATCGAACTCGAGTGGCGTAGGTATGACTCGCTTTCCGACCGTTTGTATGAAGATAGAATACTGTATGATATTATTACCGTGCTTTAGGCTCACGTGTCAGGTGCATGCGCCCCGACTCGCTAGAAATGACCTTGGATTTCGCCCAGGAAAAATTAAACGTCTTATACTTACAATCTAAAGCCAGTAACCCGCTAATTTCTAAGAAATCGATTAACAATGCCCCGTTTAATTACTCACCTTTTAATTCGCATGACTCACTTATGCCCTCGAGACAATTCAATTCTGGAATGCCTACACGTCAATTTAAACCTTTTAAATACCCTTTCATGCACAAACAGGTCCACTAACACAAAACATGATCCGACCCCTTTAAACTTGGTTTAACGAAAATTGTATTACATGACCATTCCTTCCTCCAAGAAATTGACCTTGATGAAATCCAACAACAGATTGACTCACTACAGACTCAACTAACAGATCTATCAAATAGGGTATACAATTGATATTTTGCTCTATTTAAATATAATATTGCATTTATACGGCAAATTTAATAAAACCTCACTAGATTAGAAACCTTTGAACCAAAAAGGCTTAAAAGAGGTATTTTTAACCCGCTAGGAACTTTCATTAAAAGTATATTGGGTAACCTCGATAACGAGGACGCTCTGAGATTTGAGAATGCTCTTAAAATATTGCAAAACAATGACAAAGACCTTTCGGATATTTTTAATAAGCATATTAGTTTATATAAAGAAATGATCATCCAACAAACTCAAATTTTAAATAATATCTCTTCAAATCAAAGAAAATTAGAAAAAGCAATAATTTCAATAAGTAATACATCTGTAACTGAAAAAGAACAGATGTATCAATTTACACAGATTTCCCAATTATTTAGCATACTTACGGAAAATATTCTGGAACTCTCATCTGAAATAAGTAGATTAGGTAATATTTTAGCTTTTAGTCGCACAAACGTAATGCACCATTCTATACTATATATAAGTGATTTAAAAAATATGTTAACACAGCTTAAAAATCTATATAATCCCAATGCGTTACTAAACTTAGATGTTAGGTTTTATTACGATCTAATTACCTTAGGATCATATTTTATTGATAAGAAAATTGTAATTGTCTTGAAGTTTCCTATAATGTCTCTAGAAACATATGACCTTTATAGACTCTGTCCTGTTCCTAATAAAAACTCAGAAATTATCCTTTCACCATTCCCATACATGGCATCCAATTCCCAGGAATTTGCGTACATGGAGCTGAATGCCCGAAGATCGACACCTGGTACATATGCAAGCAGCAGCTTAACCATCAAACCCGAACACGCAGTGACTGCGTCTTCAATCTCATTTATCATCAGAATACAGGCGAGTGCCATCCTACATCCATATCACTCCTGAAGGAAGCACTACTAGAATTGGACAGTCAACATTATATTTTATCATTACCTAACAAAATCAAAGTAAAAATATCATGCGGACAAGAAAAATATCATCTGTTAAAAGGAAGCTACTTCGCAACGATTCCCCGAAATTGCAGCATTCACACACCAGAATTCACAATTGTTAATACTGATGACAAATTTCGTGGGCAACCTATTGAAATAATGACATTCCCACACTCGACTCCGATGTCAGCAAATTCGAAGAAAAACTTACCACATTATAATTTCACAACAATTGATTTGAACAAATTACAAAATATTCAACATCAATTACTCATGGACCCACCTGTTAGAATTAACACCGTGGATTTATCCAGCTTATATCACACCACGATACTTACATACGTCATCATACTGTTAAGTGCACTTGCACTGAGGCATAGCATGGCATGGCATGTGCATTAGTGTGGCTTACTACCTGAGACGGCGTAAGATACAACAGCGAGTTAAATCTACACAGCCTCAAGAGATGGAAATGGCATCAGCGGGTTCTACACCATCCATCGAAGAAAGAAAAGCCGCAACATTTGCTCTCAATCTTCGCAAATAGTTGCTCATCTAGGAGGGAAGGTGTTACGAGTTCAAGACTCGTCTACGTCACTCATACGTCACGCGTACATTATGTGTTTCCCAAGTGCAGGTGGCTCGATTGAGCAATCGTGTTGAAAAGTGCTTATTAGACATATTTAGTTAATGTAAAACCTTCGGACAGTTTTGGGAGTTGCTTGAGCTTCAATCGTGGAAGCATCCTGACGTATAGTTTGTAAGACCGGATCATCGGGATCAATTAGTATAAGTAAATTTGTATAACATTTAAATAAATAAAGTAATAATTAAAAGTTTAGTTTTTAAAAACCCTACCCGACGGCTCAATTCCGTAATTAGCATGTAAACAGTAAAAAAATAAGGCAAAGCAATGTTGGATTCATAGAGTGTATGTTAAAAACAGACCAAAAGAATCTAACCCAAAACCCACTGTTGCAAGCTTCATGATCACAGACTAACTGAAGTGATTGCGAGTAGATGCTATTGAAAATATGCTTCTCCCACATCTGCGCGACGAAGCTTTGGTACTAAAATGCGCTAAAATTAGAGTTCAAATTTAGAGTTCCTTTTGTTGTAAAGAATAAGCGGGCTGCGTGTAAATGTTATGCTAAAAGTGGCTGTGGAAAATGATACATATGTATGTGCAAGTGAAGAAGCCAATTTTAGCGCAGTTTAGTACCAAAGCCATCCAAAACTTCGTCATGTAGGTATGGGATAAGCATCAGACACATTTGTCAGCAATCCCGCTAATTAATATAAATTATATTTAAATGTAACAACTTTTGTTTCAGTACTTCCGCTACCTGATATGGTTCTGCGTACCATTGGGCCTGATTGTGATCCTCACGGGCGGGTTCTTCTACATGGACGGTTGGCAGCCGTCCTTAGGCGCGCGGATTCTATATGCCGTCCTCTACAAGCCTGCGTTCCAGTTCCTCGTGTGCTGCGTCATTTTCGGCGTCATCTTCAAAGTTGAGAGTGAGTATCTGAACCTTATATGTACCTAAGGAACTAGTTTCCACTTGCGAATTCCTCCGCGCGACCTTTAGTTTTTTTTTAGTGGAAAAATTCGAGGTTGGGTTTAGTTTTTTGGGAATCGTCCAGGAATAATATATGTATTTGTCAGGGATGAAAAGTTTGTTATGTCTTAATCCAGATATTAAAACTACATCCCCCTTAATAATAAACGAGGAATAAATTTAAACTAGTTACGCCGTCTTATGTTCATATCACTTAAATGCCCAATAAAAGTCAAAGCACAATGAAAGTCTTTCGCTTCTTAACAAAGGAAATAATAATCATAATTCTGACAACTGAAAAGGATAGGAACCGTCAAGGGACAAAATTAAGGCATTTGACCCGTTGGAGCTTGTTTTCTTTAATGAGTGGTGTGCGTGAAAACCTAAGAAACAAATACGTCATTTGTCATTCAAAGAACAGGGACATAACATGGAGTAACTTATCCAAGCCTATTCTTCCTTTATTAATAAGGGGGTGTGATGTGTGCCAAATTTCGTCCAAATCCGTTCCGCCGCTTTTTGTGTGATTTAGATATTCAAAATTACAATAGACATAGTGACAGCCCGCGACTTTAGCTGCGTTAGTTTTAGTTTTTCGAGAATCCGTTGGGTGCGACCGTGATAACTTCTAAGTTAGGTTAGGTTCGTTTTTAGAGATTTTTTATGGGAGAAAAAGTATCGTTGGGTGCGATCGTGATCCTCACGGGCGGGTTCTTCTATGTGGACGATTGGCAGCCGTCTATAATAGGGTATTTGACAAGTTTTAGAAAACGATCTCACGCTATTGACTAATGTTTATGGAGTCCGTAAAAAGTGGATATTCATCATTCTGTTTTGTATTTCAGTATAAAGAACCAAATCAAAAACATCATTTTCAAGTTGCCTCGAAAACGTTTCTCTGGACAATATGGCGTCATACTAGTGTGTGACATCACACGACTGTTATTAAAACGTCAAACGATACAATGCAATGTCACTTTAACCGGAAGTTTACTTGCGTATGAAGTCATTTTAGGCTCCGCCAATCCCAAGCATTTTGGGTCACGTGACAATAGATAAGATTTTTTTTTTCGTGGGTTTTTAGTAAAATTATGAATATTTTTTGTATAAATAGTAAAAACCCCTGCCAATGTTCATTCTAAACACAGATGCTAACAATTGGAACTTTATTTTTAATACTGTCAAATACCCTATTACGGGGGTTTTATACATCGTCCTCTACAAGCCTGTGTTGCAGGTGCTTATGTGCTGCATCATTATAGGCGACATCTGCAAAGTTGAGGGTCAGTATCTGAACCCCAAATATAGGGAACTTGCTCGCGACTGCAACTACGTGTTTACTTTAGTCGTCTTTAGAGATTCCATGCGTCATGCTCGTTAACGGGTGCTGCTAGCAGATATGAGTCTGTTTTTGCTTCATTGGATAGTATTTATCATAGTATTTAACTAGTAATCCGCACATTTTGATTTCTGTATAAACTGTAGGATACCGCCTTCTTAAACTATGTGCCATATTCATATTTAATACATTGTAAATTCATAATTATGTAAGGGAAGATGTCTTCATGAATCATCTCATATTAAAGTATTTTTTTGATTTGACCTCTCTGTACATAATAAATACAGGGAGAGCAAAAGAGCCCTTGCTTGTTCTTCTCAGTACAAGATCTCCCGTCGAAGATTTTCGAATTTTTTGACGTTCACAAGTGCATTTAACATCCATATAACAACAGCTAAACTAAATATGTTTGCGTTCTGTAGCTTTGATTCGCGGCATCCTGGAGTGGCGGGGCTTCACGTGGATGGGCCGCGTGTCGTACGGCACGTTCCTGCTTCACACGCTGTTTCAGCGCGGGTTTGTTGGCGGCCTGCCCCGGACCATATACCTCACCGAGTACTACGTAGTGAGTATGATGCTTGGACATTTTAGTAAATTAGCCGGCCAATATGAGCAGACACACGTAGTCGAGAAACATTACCAAGATAATGCTCATGGGCGCCACGGAGAAGACTGAACGGGTCGCTAGAATACTGCATTGTATATGGTACAAATCACTTAACTGCTCAGTCAAATCGACTCCCCCATGAATTTATGTCTAATGGTCAAAAAGGCTGAGCGATAAGCCGAAATGCTAGCAGGTATTTTGTTAAATTGATGGTTGGCCTTATATTGGACGAACTCCGTGGTGGAGAATATCAACAAGGCATCCTGGAGTGGCGCGGCTTCACGTGGACGGTCTTGCTGCACACGCTTTTCCAGCGCGGGCTTGTGGGCGGCCTGGGGCGACCGTACCATATACCTCACCGAGTACGAAGTGTGGACATTTTGGTTTAATTAACCAGCCAATAAGATGACCTCCTTGGTGGATAATTCAAGATCATTTAACTAAGGTAATGATCACGGGCGATAAGAAGTATGCTGATCGTGACCTAGCTAATATGTGAAGACTTCCATGATGGAGAATCCAAGAGCATCCAATCAAGATACTGCTCGCTGGTTCGAGGAAAGCCGAATGGAATGCCAGAATACTATTAGCCAGCCAATACTTGACGACTTCAGTGGTGGAGAATCTTTACCAAGATAACAGGATACTACGTAGTAAGTACATCGCGGATATTTTGATAAAACCAGTCAGTCAACATTTGACGGCTGCCATTCGACCTAGATAATAGAAGATAATGCGGCAAAAAGATGGCTGAAATGAACTCTGAAATATTTACGTGTATTATAGAAGCAGGGTAGCTGCTTCTCCAGGTCAGCAGTGGGGACCCTAATACGCTGATAAAAATATTCCGTCCTTCATTTTTGTCCGCTTTATCGCCTTAAGAATTTTCTTCCTCCGTGTATTAAAATCTGTCTCATACATTCCCTTGTCCATCCCCTCTTTGATTATGCTTGTGTTTGTTTTATTAATATAAATCAACTACTTCTAACTAAATTGGATCGTCTTCTCAATAACACTATTCGTTTCACTTTGGTTTACGTAAATACGACCACTATTTAGAAATCTGCAATAAACTTAAGAGGCTGCCTAATGGGAAGCGTGGGTAATTAACAGTGGACAGTTTTCACCCTTTTCAACTTACTAAACGATCCACGCGCCCCTGGATATCTGAAATCTTGGTTTCAGCTTCTAGGGTCTTCCCATCAATTAAATCTAATTGAATATTTGAACTACCTATTCACTATACTATGTTTGTTTCCACTTCATACACCCTTACTGCCATTCGGCTCTGGAATGCACTTCCTGTACACGTGCGTAACGCTCCAAACAGGATTGCGTTTAGAACTTCGGCGCGGGAACAGTGTTTTAATTTAACGCAAAGTGGTTAAACCGAATTAGAATACTATAATCAGACACTGTATATTATATGTATTTATTTGTGTGCATTTATATATGTAGGTTTATGTTATAAATGCTATTTCATTCGTTTTTATCATTTTTTGATATTTACTCTGTTCGTTTTCTGCAGTTTCATTGTTTCTGCACGTGCTTCGCGGTTGATTTGTAGAGAATGCCATACTGGCATTAAGTCCGCCATTTGCATTATGGAGGCAATAAAGATTAAATAAATAAAATAAATTAAACATAAATTTATTTATTTCTTTGGTCTATATAACCAACTAGAAACCGCTCCTCATTTATTGTTTGAAGTCAATATAACCGTTAATGATAATTTTAGGGAATACGAATATTTTCGAATACCTAATTTCCTCTGTTAAATAATGTTTTTTTTGTTACAGATTTTGCTATTGTCAGCAACGATTTTCCTATCATTTGGTGGGGCAGCTTTGATGTTCATAATGGTGGAATCTCCAATTGGAAGCATCATCAAGTTAGTGACCTCGGGCGGCAGGAAGAAGAAAACAGAAGGGGACGCCGAAAGGGCGTGATTTAGACTCGTAATATGGAGAAGGCTCAAAGATATACTAAGTATAATAGGTTCTCAGAGAAGAAAGAGTGTAACACATATGTGTAGGTGTACGAATAGAACATTTTTTTATGTAAACGTGTCTTGTGTGTGATTATAGACTAGGGTTAATAAATTAATGAAAACATTATCGGACTTTTACTGTTTCTATATGAGCTGCTAGATTATGGAATATAATGTTGGGTCGTTTATTCGCCATCAACATCACTGGTATTGTTAAAGTTGGAGCAAAGGCCTTCTTTATGGACGGTATAGGGATTTTGGGACATGACCTACCACGTGGACCCAGTCAGGATTTTCGAGTGCTAATAACTGCAGATGATCCCAACACCCAACAGGCTAACCTGCTAATCAAATGCTTTATCAAGCTCCTCGATGACATAAGAATTAAAATACAAAAACAAGTTATTAACATGGTTTAACGGAAGGAAAATTTATGGTGTACGTGGAATTATAGGCGGGTAGGGGCCTTTTGTGATGTATTTGTGGGATTGTAGTGTTATTGAGTCAAATAAACATTGCTGTTAACTGAAAAAAGGCGTTCGTCATGAGCAAATGTGCGGCGTGTAGGTAGGTACATAATTGTAAAATAAACTAAAGTGATTAAATAAGCGTGTATGTTATAATTGCCGAGTCAATACTGTTTTATTAATAATGTTGTAACATAATTATTTGTATTAAGCGCCATCTATTGAAACTATAAACGATAAGAACTAGTACATTAAGAAAAAGTTGACTCTATCTAAAATATTAAAGATTTTGTTAGTCGGTGAGTAACATCAACAACTTAAAAATTTGTTACAATATTCTGAATGGTCACTGTGTGCATTTTACTAATCTTAAATCATTGAATGTTGAACGGGTAATGAATTTTACCGATGGATATCGATTGAGTCCATTGGATCATGATTGGGTCAGAAAAATCATGGATTAACTGAGTAAAAGCCGGATTTTAATGAAAATGTAAATAAAAATGAGTGTGAATGACATTTTGTTCTCACAGGTTCTGATATTCTCACTTTTACATCATAGAGAATATTGTCAAAATTACTCTTTATTGTTATCCAGATCAAAATTTACAAAATGACTTCAAACTTTCCCTAAACATTTAAAAATTTAGAATATTAGAAAATTCAAGTGCTTTCTATCGTAAATAAGTTTGAATAAATAAATATGTCAACCCCGAAACGTCCTTCAGAGTTATTACAGCAAGTGATGACAGTATTTAAGAACTTAGAGAAAAAGGTAGACAAGCTGCAAGATGACGTGAATTACCAAGGTCAGACCCTGACAGATATGAGGATAATGCTGGCCAATATGTCCGGTCCGATTAACCATGAAGTTCGGAACCAACCTTCGAGAAAAGCCACTGCTGTTCAGCATGAGCTTCAATCTCGAGGTGCTGAGCTTCGCAAAATGAAAACGAAAAACACAATGCGACCTGTACCCAGTAAAATGAAGACAAAAAGTTTGGCCACACCAAAAGTAGGTTTAAGAGCTTCCGAGCCAAACCAGCAATACATAAAATCGACCTCCTCTCCAATCAAGGCAATGAAACTTTCTACGAGACTGTCAAAGGCTGAAGCTCCTCGTAAAGCCACAACGTTGAGGACTCAAAAGAATAAGGTGGATAAAAAGCGAAATAAAACCACGACGTAAACAAAGATTGTACATAAAAGCTGTAACTATTCATATTTTGTAATCGCGTAAAGGTATTATACAAACCTGATCAGTATTAAACTCTTTTTTAATTCCTAACACGTGTATATTGCTAAAAGAACAAAATAAAACAGTCTTTAATTACTGGTACAGTTTATTTGATTTGGTCTACTACTACTAATGCATATTCAAGTGAGAGGTATTTATATAATTTTATAGAAATATAAATATGAAGCACATGATAGTGGTAACTAAAATACAGTGACGATTTCGTTGGATAAATTATGCTGATTCATCGCCTGATGATATCGTTGTCATCCTTCTCCTGACTCCTGATACGGCATTTTTCGAATCTGTGAAGAAATACAACGTCTGATTTTTAGTCTACTATAGCTATTCTCTCCTAACGATAAAAGAACTTTACTAAAGTGAAATATAGAATCACTAAATTTTACCAGAATCTATTTTTTATTTTCAATTATTTAGATTCATTTTTATAGAAATACTTGACAACGCTTCAGAATAATTATACCTAATCTTTTTTTTTTAACTGACTTTAACAAGGAAGATTTTAACAATAGCCTTACATTTTAAAATAAATTATTTCGGCAATCAGGATAACGATAGAGAGAGCAGCGCCGTAAAGCATAAAGATGAGAACTGGGCCGAGGTCTAAAAGTCCGACGCTGCTGAAGGCAGACATCTTGTTCGAGCACCGTGGCTTTGGCACCTGCAGACGCTTGATTAGGGCCGACTGGATGCCGGACTCACGGATCTGCTTGAAACTAAGATAAACATAAAGAGCATAGGTATCAACATAGCAAAGACAGCACAATGTTTTTTCACATGGAATCGCGATGCCTGCCTGGTGATATTTGTGACACATTTCTCGAGCAGGGGTCTTATTCACTTCTAAGATCACTTTTAATTCATATTTTTCCACTTTAGCCACTAGCTCGTTAACTCACAAAAGCAACAGTTTAGACTTACACAACTCTAATCAGCTCCAAGTATGGCGAGGTTTTCCGCACCGGCAAGAACGCGTCAAATCCGTTGATGTAGTCCACCTCGGTGAGGTCACACTTCTCTGTCTCCAGGAATGTGTCCTCGATGCGGCGGTATATCGGCTCCACGATGGAGTGCAGAGCAAACATACCCTAATAATTATTTATTTATTTGTACTTACACCAAGTTTCAATTAGTTACTGACTTCTGAAATGTATGTGTATTTGTATTCCAGAAACCAGTGTATTCTCATTATAGGAATATTAAGTAATATGCCCTTTTTTTATCTGGTAAATGCCTTACGCATCCTTCAACCACAGGGGGAGTGAGAAGAATGTATGGGACTCCTCTCTGCTCATTTTAGCCAGCCCTTGGACCGGATGAAATGAGCAGGGCCCTACCTAATGCCCAGAACAGGGCCACTAAAAACCAGACAATACTCCTGCACCGGTTACCCGGCGTACATTCTGGGGACCGTAGTCCCCACAATGCACGCCGGGAGTGTGGGTGTGATCGCGGCAACCGTTGCCGACTATCAAGGCACCCGCAAGGTAGTATACCCTTTATTTTTGTAACGCAGGCAAAACCTGTATTTACAGACGACAGCACCTTTATGAGGCACACCGCCGAACGGACCTCATACCTGGCTCCCACAAGCCTTACGAGCCCCCGCAGTGGCTACCCACTGAGCACCCCGTAACTCTTACGGGTGCTTTACGGCATAATATCCGCTAAAAAACCCTGTGAACCCTTTAACCCTCTAAGCTGCTTAGTGCGAAACCGCGGGATCTCCGTTAGGGATTTTTCCGCGTCGCCAAGGTAGTATACCCTGTGTTAATACTTGTATGATTAAATGAATAGTTGATTCAAATTTTACAACTCTATATTTGATTCCAAATAGAAGATAAGCTAACCGGAGCCTAAATAGGTACTTGTAGATTTCTATTGTGAGTGTAAATAGTTGGCCTTGTAATAAACTGTCCCCGATTGAAATAGAATTTTGAGATCAGAAAAACTAGTTTTAACGGGTTAATGCACGAACTTTATTTGTTTATTGACGGTTCGCAGCCTTTTCAGGTCTGCATCAGGCTGCGAAACGTCAATAAATAAATATGCATTAGCCCGTTAAAACTAGTTTTATTTAATGAGTGATGTGTGTGAAAATCTAAGAGACTAATCAGAAAAACTATTAAATTTGCGATCATTACTCCTTCGTATTACATCAACGATGGACATTTCTGAGTCTGTCAGTTTTATAACGCTTTGTGTTAGACTAAGTGTGCTAACGGTAGTAATATATTGATAAATAGTTAGAAAAGGTTGGATTTACTAGTCTTATCCTCTCGACACCATCGTTGATGCTGTAAAACTGTGGTTTCTCGTTTTCTGGCATCACCTTTTTAGCAATAGTCACGTGTACAGGATCTTTGTGACCCTGTAAAAAAACATTTTACAAACAAAATATCATAAGTTATTTGTCAGACAACGAAGATTAGTGAGTGCCAGTGTTAATTTCTTTAAACTTATCCCTGAGGGAATCTCTTGGTCTTAAATGGTATATGGGTCGAATTGCTCTTTTTGCGATATATAAAAAAATTCTAATTGTTACAGCTGAACCCCATAACAACAGGCCATAGGACATTACACTATGAAAATGACTAAATTATACTAACCTTGCGGTTTCAACATCAGTCAGAAGCCTTATTTTTTACAGCATACGCCGCTGAGCTACTCTCAAGTCTACTTGACAGAAAATCAATATGAGTATACTATTGCAATTTAGAATATTAAGTTATCTCTAAAAACTTAGCACTCTGCCTTACATTTGGTACAGAAAATTTAATAAATTTAGTGTTCTTTGAATTCACCGAAAGATTATTTAATGTGAACCATTGTAAAACATTCCAAAGAGCACTATTTACCTCGTCCAAACAATTGCTACCTCTGTCAACTTTAAAAATTAAAGAAGTATCGTCAGAAAATAGCACTGACCCAAGGTGCTTGTGTAGTATAAAGGTAGGTCATGTATATATATTAAAAATAATAAAGGACCTAATATTGATCCTTGAGGCACGCCCACAACCAAAGGGGTGTCAGCAAATTCAGTTTTATTTATAACAACTTTTTGTATTTTATCAGATAGGTATACTTTAATAAGGCCGCCTGATTTGATAGAGACACCATAATGCCCCGATTTCCTCAATAATGTGTCGTGGCTAACACAATCAAACACAGAAAGAACGCAGAATATACCTATTGCATCTTGCCTGCGCTCCCAACCTTCAAAAATGTATTGCAAAAGTGTAGTTCGAGCATCTGTAGTGGATTTACCCTTAATGAATCTGTATTAGTTGCAATTAAATAAGTTGTTAAAGGTTAAATAAGATGGTAACTGGTTAAAATTACCTTTACAAAAATTTTGCTCAAGGCTGGTAATATAGATTGCTTCAAAACAGGACAATATAGATAAGGTCTAAATTTGTTAATAATTATTAAAAAAAGGCGACTTGCTCAAAATTAACAAAGAAAATTGTGGCGATGTAATAAAAACAAAGTGAAACCACTTTAATAATAATTTACGCTGAAAAGGAAGCTACTGTAGTCAACGTCCAGTGCAGCGAGAGTCAGCTTAGAGGCGGAGAGATGCGTCAGCGAACGGATGGAGTTGGAAGGCGCTTGAAGTAACACCACGATGTTGGCAGAATAGGCCGCATATAGAGCCATCAGCGCCGTGAACAGAAACCACTCCATGATGCGACCTGATCCATTGAACCAACAGTTTAAATCTATCAATACATATGGTTTGAATTAATTTGTTAATCCTCATTTACGTGATTGAGTAACAAACATACATACTTTTACATTTATAATATTAGTAGGATATACGAAATATCCAAAATTTCTATGGAATCTGATAAATTAACTTACCTGACGCTCGTCGAGGTTCGATGAAACAACCTTGCTGGGCAACTGCGCTCAATGTCAGAAGTAGCGCATCCCCCATACTGCCATCCAGCTGAGATGGACCCTAAGTAGGATAATTGACCATAGAGATATCGTTTTAAAATATAAAGCTCTTGAGAATTGAAATCGAAAAGCAAGTGAAAAAAATACACTTTCCAGCGACACCCGGTAGACGCCGTCACGTACGTTACTAGAGCTAGCCACACGTTGGTTGAAAATGATAGCGAGAAGTTGTTCGACATGCTGGTAAATGGGGGTTGACATAATTTGAAGCTTGCTGGTAAATGTATAAAGTAAAGTAGAGTAGAAAAAGTTAATTACACTTTCCAACGTAACCTCCCATTTGCTGGTAAGGTATAGTGTGAGGGTAGAAGCAGCAACGCACGCTACTAGAGCTACCCACACGCTAGTTGAGAATGGCAGCGAGAATATGTTGGACACGCTCGTCAATGGTGGCTGACGGAATATGAAGCGCGTACGCAGCGGTGCGACCATGTCGGTGTAAGCCACCACGTCCAGTCTATCGGCAAAGGCGAAGCAGTTGGTTCCTGAGTAATTGAAAAAAAACCTATAAATTAATCAAAATAGTTATACTTAAAAAAATAAAAGGTAAAATAGGAGTTTTTTGGGCAAGCTGAAAGTGCTAGGAGGGAAAGAAGATTTTTCCTAAAATCACTACTCGATAGTTAAACAGGGGTTATTGGATGTAAAAACAATCTTCAATTGCAAATTAGCAAATATTGCTGAAAAGTTGTTGCAGTATTTTATCTAGATGGTCTAAGCAGTTATATTAAGAAATATTTCTGAAAGGCAAAAAGTTACTCCGTCAAACTTTATAATTGGCACGAACGTTGAGAGAGATCTGTCTTTTTCTCCCTGTCGTTTTTGATACAGCCAGAGAATTAAGGATTGCTCGGTAAAGTACATTATGGATAAAAAATACCAAATAAAATAATAAAAAATCCACTTTGCTTGATATCACTCACGTTTCTAAAAAAAAACATTTTGAAAGATATTTGTGCACCTGTTATGATTACGATTGGTAACAGGTGCCTACTCAGGTTTTTGAAGGTTCTCCATAAATAAAAGTTGATTAAAAATAACCAAATAAATAGAATAACGAATTTTATTCCAACCTAAATCAGCTCTCCCGGACCAGATGTCGTCGATCATCCCAGACCACCGACCATTCACCTTGTATCCCCAACGGTAGCTGAAGATGTAACGAGGTGTAGCGTTCAACATCTCGAAGGCATGAGTGGCTGCTATCCAGCAAAGCTTTGGGGCTGCATCGTGTTGTAAGTCTCTGTAATGATGGTGATTAAAGCTGTACAACATAATTATAAAATTGTTTAAAATAAGAAGTATAGTTAATTAATAGTATAATTATTGTAAACACTATATATAGGCTGCCATAGTCACCCAGCGACTAAAGCCTTTAAAATAGATTAAAGAAAAACAAAGTTGAACGACTATTACTCTTAAACTAGCAAATCTATTTTATCTCTTAAAATTTTCTTAACAGTTCATGAAACTATTACCATGAATTTTTCCAGGTTTTTTAAGCCGATAGTTTAGCTTTAAGAGAGGAGGGGGGACTCCCTACTCGAACAAAAAATAGCACTATAAAAAGTTCACTATTTCGCAAAAATATCTCTTAACGAAAAATAGTCTTCAAAATTCCTAAATAATTTTAAAGGACCTATTCAACGATATCCCACATGATGGGGAAGATGATGAAAAAAATCATCCCTAGGTTACATGTAGGGGAGCTACCCTAAAAAAGCCAAGCAAAACCGGGGACAGACGGACGGACACGACAAAACTAAAAGCGTTCCTTGTCAGGACTACGGAACGAATCTTAAAAAAGCTACTAAGATTTTGTTAGCCAATCTCCTAATAGATTAATACCTAGTGATTTCGCGAAGATCTAATGTTGAAATTACGGCATGCAGTTCCAGTAGTCATTATGGACCAAATTTTCATTGTTTTGATACACAGATAGGATTTTAACCACTTACAGTCGGTCTTGTTTGAGCAAGTGTTTCTTTGTGTCATTGCTCTCCTGAATAACGTTTGCCATAGTAAGAGGATGGCCCATTAGATCTCTCCTCCGGCGGAATAATTCCTTGTGTTGTCGAACATCAATTAGTGTTCCGTTGTAGTAACCTCTCGGTTTAGATTGTATGGAATGATTCATCGATGGCCTATAAACTAAACGAAACAAAACATATGAAATACTAAAATCTAGGAAAAGGACCAGGTTTCTTAGGCCAGAAAAAAAATTATTCACGTTTTCCTTTATAGTAACCAGAATTTATAAAAGGTGTTAAAATTCAATAAAAATTATCAGTATGGTCATCCTTCGAAATAAATTGGGTTATAGAAAGAGAAAGTTGAGAGAGAATGTGCAAAAATCTGGGAAAAAAAAAATGGTTGCCTGTAAAGTCGGTTTTACGGGCGAAGATTTTACGTGACAACGTCTTTTTCTCGGTAGAATATTTATTGATATGAATATAATTAAATTGCACAATAGGAACAAGGAATTGAATGAAAATAAGAATTGCACAAATTTTAACTATAGAAATATATTTTGTTTACTAAAACATTGTACATGTAAACTTAAACTTAACACGAGAGACTCATCGTAACGTTACCGAGCGTTACACTTTTTCATAAGTGACTCCCAGCCGCAACCTAATTTAAGACGTTGTCACGTCAAAAACAAACAGAGAATGAACCAAACATAAACTTTTGTAATGGTAAATGGGCTAATATTTACGGATAAATAAATGAGTAGTTAAAGCAAGCCACTGGGATGAAAACCTGTTACTATTAATAAGACAACGAATTGAATTAAATGCGTTGTTGGTAAAGCTATAGGAGTGCTTAATGTGCAAGGAAGTTGTTATATCTATTATTATACGTACTAAATGCAAATGTGGGGTATGAAAAAATAATTTAAGAGTAAGCTTCAAATGTTTCAAAGACAGGTAAAGAATTGACAAAGTGAAATCATATCAACTCCTTACGCTCCGTCAGTAGAAATTCCCCTCCAATATTCTCAGCTAACACCAAGTCACTGTCACTCAATATTGACAGATTCCCCAAAACAATGTTAGCAGGGTTAACGCCTCCAGTGGACAGAATCAACCAGCGAAAAGGAAATTGAAAAAGCTTCTGTGAAGTCGCCTAAAAATATCAAAGCTTGAATTATTTTGGTAGTTTTCAATAAAACACTGTGTACCATTGGGCGAAATCCTAGGTTTATGCTATATAACCATTGGAAGCTTATTTTACCGCCTAATTTGTGATGAAGTTTTGTTAATATCACGAAAGTTAGCCGAAGCTCATGGTTCAGAGGTTTCAAAAAAAATGTTTTTGAAAGCTCGTTGATCTGTGGGCAATTATATTTTTTTTAATACGTAGCTTCTCTGCAACTGAATCTTGTTTCAATTTTTAGCAGCGAGAAATATAATACCTAATCTTATATATAAAATTTTCGTGTCAAAATGTTAGTTACCATACTCCTCCGAAACGGCCTGACCGATTTTTATGAAATTTTATATGCATATTCCGTGGGTCTGAGAATCGGCTACTATCTATTTTTCAAATCCTTAAGTGATAATGGTTGTCCACTTGTAATGTAGTGTTCTGAAACCTACAATGCGTCTTCGCGCCAAAATTCAAACTATTGGGTATTGTAACGTAGTGTTCTCATATGGGTTAGGAGGAATGTTATCCCAGGAAATTGAAAGAACACTACGTTACACACTCCTAAAATTTTTTTTGGACATCATTTATTTTTTTATGTTGTGGTATTAAAAAATACATACTATCCTAAATTTTCTCTTCTACCACCTGCCCCTATTTTTATGGCGGTACGCAGTTCGCTGGGTCAGCTAGTGAGTATATAAATTCCTAGGTTAGTAGTTAGCACCCCAGTGTTATTGGCAAGTACGATTACGTATAATGTAAATGGTTCAAAGCTTACATATAAAAGTACGTTTTCTGATGTAGGACAATACAAATCTACAAGAAATAGTAAGCTTTGGTCGTGGTATGTGGACTTAGATTTGAAGGATGATGACCACATTACTCCATGTTTTGAAATTTCGCTCACCAATCTCACTTCTGATCCTGAAACAAATCTTAGAATTATATTTTATTCTTTGTCAACAAACAACTTCCTAATGTAAATAGACACCAGTGACATATGGATAGCCTGATAGACACCCAGACATCGAGTGGCAGAAACAAGGTTCCATTTTTACTCTTTGAGTACGGAATCCTAAAAATGTGAGCTTGCATCAAAGATTTTCATTCTGAAGTTGGTATGGTATCTCAACGTATACGAGGTTGGTTCTACCCTTAAAACTTTTGAACTTTTCTCATAAAATAATCTATTTAATACGAGAATATAAAGGAAATCCAATACAAAAATATCATTTTTCTTTCTTATAGAATAGAAGGTCTAGAATAGAATACCAAAGCCTTCAAAGGGTTCAAATAAAAATCTACTTTATTATTCAAATTAAAGATCTTTGTTTCGTGCCTACTTATTTTTTACAACCCGCTCAGGACATATTCTGAGAAGAAAAGTGGCAAAAAAAACAGACTTACAGAGGTAAGAATATTTATGATAAAAAAATATATAATTAGCACTATAGACTTTAAGCGTAAGAATATTTAAGATACAAATAATTTAGTTAGCACTGGGGACTTTAAGCTCAGATGTTGCACACCTGCTTTAAAGGACGTGGCGAATTATGTTGTATGCAGGGCATGGGAGCAGATGGGGTATGATTAAAATTACAACCTGGCTTTTAAAGATAAAATCTATAAATGTAACTACCATTAATATACTTACTTTTGGTCCAGCACAACCCCGCAGTGATTAACTGAGTAGGTTTTCCTTCGTTCTTGATGAAACTTTTTATGAAAGTTATTGTGAAATCATCTCTGCACAAAATAATTCTCAGTAAGGCAAAACAAACAAGAAAAGCTTTCATTGTGTTATGTCCGAGACTTGAATTCAGTGTTAGGAGGCACACCAAGACACAACGAGGCTGCAAAGCAGTATTTCCATTTATTTTAAATATTTCATCAAAGACTGGTGAAAACGTCAAGTGTAACTAAGTAGCTACTTACGTGGTTACGTGCTGTCTGAAGTAAGCAATTTTCACATCAAAACAGTAATTTACGTATCTATACTATTCTAAATAAGTGATTTTCTATGTAATAAATATTCTTTGACTACCTCTTTTACGATACTATGTTAATAAAGCAGTTTTAATATTTAAAACATTTGAGTGAGGCGTCTTTTATGATTGTTCTCCTTCCTCAAAAAGGTTCTGTAAAACAAAATAATTTAGTTTATCGATTGACATTTAACCCCTTATTCCAAAACGTGGACTAAAGTTAGTCTTAGTTTAAACCTTAAGTCGCCTCTGTTTTCGTTTTAGCAAACAAAAGTGACAGCATCAGTTTTCGTCCAGGTTTAACTATACGATTTGAATTAAGCCGGATAAGGTTTCAATAAATGATTGGGGACTCACGAAAAACAATGTTTATGGTAGCAAACCCATTAATAACATAAAGTACTATAAAAAAAATAACAGTTAAGTAGCTAGGGTATAAAGTAGTAAATCGGAGTATATCTGTAATATATTTAGAGACAGGTTTCAAAGCAATAGACTCACAGGCTCTATTATGCCAGCCTCAGCACGGTTGGTGGCAGTAACAACCTCTAGCTAGTGGAAGAAATGCCATCAGAGGACAGTTGCTTTCCCACCAAGTGACATGGACTGTATTACTACAGACCATTCCCTTGTTGCCCAGGTTACCCTTGTAAGGAAGGTTTGCTATATAACTAATTTCAAATCAAGAAAGCCCGCTTGCGGAGATAGGCCACTTCCTGTAGTAACACTGCTGGCGTTAGCAACGTCATGTAGACATTGGCCAACATAGCAGGGTGTATATCAGTGATACCGATGCTTCAAATCGAAACCACTCATATGATACGCCAGCTCCAGTAGTAGTAGGGTCAGTGGCAGCAACATCATGTAGACGGTGGGTAAACTGGGATCTTTACCGAGAACAGAAGAAAATTGCTGCCCTCCCCCGAGTGAATAACGGATCGTACCTTCTGCCCGCTAGATACCGTCACTGGTTTGATATCGAACTAGAATTACTTTCATTCTGCTTCTTAAATAACTCTCATGCCCTCACATGCTACGGTATAGGCATAAGTTTTACATCAAGAAGCGGTAGTAAGCCAGCTACAGTAGTAGCTTTGCTTCTCTACCAACTGACCCATAGTCTTTTTGTAACCTTGGGAGGGACCTTGATTGTTTTGTTACTATGTCACTTATTTCAAATCAAGAAGATTCACAGGTGGTGATAAGTTAGCTCCAACAGTAGCGCTGCTGGCGCTGGCAGGGTACATGTCAGCAATGCCGACGCTGCTAAACGGAGATACAGCGCCCTATACTCAACTAATGCGCGGTAATCGGCTGTTCTAACAGTATAACGGCTGGCCTCTATCAGCCTCAGCGTAAATTTGGCAGAACTAGAGTTTTACATCAAGAAGCTGTAGTATGCCAACTCCAGGAGTAACGCGGCTAGTGGCAGCAACAGCATCTAACCAGACAGTGAAACCAGGTTTCTTTTCTGAAAACAGAAGAATTGCTCCTCTACCAAGTGACCCATAGACTGTAGTAACCTTGGGAGGGACCTTTTTTGCTACTATGGCTCCTATTTTAAATAATGAAGACTCACAGGCGGTGGTAAGCCAGCTCCAACAGTAGTACGACCGGCGCAAGTAGTGTCATGTACACGGTGGCCAGCATGGCGGGGTACATGTCAGCGATGCCGACGCTGCTGAACGCTGACACGGCGCCCGAGCAGCGCGGCCGCGGCACGTGCAGCCGCCGATGGATGCAAGATTGGATGCCGGACTCGCGGATCTTTATGAAGCTGCGGTTAGACTAGATACTTAAATTTTAATTTACATTTAGCCACTGCCTTTGCCGTTCGTGCCACGGTACGATTTTGGAAATTACTTTTTAGCTACGCGTACGGCAACGGCAGAGGTTAAACGTAAACGAAGTATAAAACACTCGCCAAAATACTACTCCAGCCTTTGATTAATTGAATATAAGACTGCAATATCATAATAATAAATTTTTATGGTTTTCGAAATACTGAGAAGACAAAATACTGACTTTATTTTGAAGAGATCTTTATATGGGGATTTTTTCTGGCCTGGTACCCAAGGATCAATTTCGTTTATGTAATCTATCTCCACCAAATCACATTTCTCGTCCTCTTGATAAGTTTCTTGGATTAGGCGATAGCCCGGGTTTGACTCCATGTGGAAAGCAAACAATCCCTAAAACGAAAGATAAATAGCTTTGTAACGATTTATTCTATGTTTAAAAGTTGTAATTAATGTGTAGGTACAATTATATTCTCTGGTTTCTGGTGCATTTCAGAAATGGTGTTAGTAAAATTTTTGTTCAAAATTTTAGTCTAAATCTTTAAAAATTGTTGAAAATTTCATATTAAATAACAGAATACCTTAATTATCATGACATATACACCAACCTGTATACCTTCTTGAGTGTATATTGAAAATCGGTGGTTATTTCCTATTTTCAAAATACCGATGCTCTGGTGGATGTTGAAACATTGCTAAGATCATTATGCAAGTAAGTGTTACTTGCATAATGATCTTAGCAATGTTTCAACAAGTGGACAATGCTTAGATAAAATTGTAGTGCCAGTAAACATTTCTATTATGCGACTCAAAAGAATGTTATTCAAAAATAGATTACATTACTCTTAAATACCAACTATGAATGATCAAAAGAGTAACCGTATAAGTTAACCTGTGGACCTTGTGGTCAGATAAGTACAGTAGTGAGTGCCACTTTACTAGTGAAGTCTTATACCCCCTTATTAATAAACGAAGACTACGCTTGGATTAGTTTCTCCATGTTTTGTCTCTTTCAATTGATTCATGTCACTGAAATGGCCAAATGGCATTGAGTGACATGAACATGTACAAAACACGGCGTAACTAGTCTAAGCTTATTGCTTGTTTATTAATAAGATAAGGTTTCACTGCTATGAGCAAGGATAAGCATAAACTTTTCCACACTCCCGCTCACTCAACTAATTATGCTCAAAATTCGCCACTCGCACGATTACCCAATAACTATAATAAATATTTTAGCACTGCTGATCCTTTTATAGGGACAAAACGTACTTTAAAGCAATCCATTTTAAAGCTCCTAACTAATGAATGACCGGGGAAAGTGCATTGTATTGATTAAGCATATTTGGCTCAATAATAAGACACGTATGGGGATCGTATGTATATTTTATTGCTTCGTTATATGATAAACATTGTATTGATGTTGTTTTATAAACATGTCGTGGGATATCTTAATTAATTAACATAAAGATAGAAATGAAACTAAATATCTTTGATTGAACTATAAAGATAGACACAAAAATGTTACCCAAATAAATATGTTACCAGGAATACTGTTATTGGCATTAGTTTAAGAAAATATTATAAATGTAACTAGAAATAAGAAAATGCTGTTGTTTTCCTGAAATAAATAAATAAGAAATAAGAAACTATCTCGATTTTATGAGTTGTGAGTCGCTAACAATGTAATAACAAGTCACAAAAAAAATAAAAATAAAGATATCGTGAAAATTGCACTCGTTTGCCCTAAGTAAACATTTTTTTCGTCTTTCGTCTTTAAGAGGCACACCGCCGAACGGACCTCACACCTGGTTGCCCACCGAGGACCCCGCAACTCTTACGGGCGCTTTTTCATAATATCCGCTAAGAAAGTCCTGCAAATACCCTCTACACTGCTTAATGCTAAGCCACGGGGTCCCCGTCCCTAAGTAACTCTAACATCAGCAGAAGCATGTCCAGCAGTGGAAAAGCATGGGTTGATGATGTTTTAACTGATAAGTTATTGTGTGTAATTGATTCGTTATTTTGTGATGTTACCCGTCTTATTTTTTCTACGCCTTCTTTCATGGAGTAAAAATTAGGTTTCTTCCCTTTCGGAGCAATTTTCTTGTCGTAAATTGCCTTGCGTATTGGCTCGTTCAATTTCTGTAATAAACACAATCTTATGAAGCAGTGTGAAATACGAGAAGCTATAGTATATCATACGCGTGTAATTTTGAAACCTTGTACTCAATGGAGATTGCTCAAATTGGCCCAAATGCACAAAAAATATTGACATACACGGTAATTCTTGGCGTAATTTATAATTTAATTTACAGTCATTAGATTTCAACGGACACCTTTGTATAATATATTTAAAAAAGACTTTTGATTTTACCGGTTTGGAAAACATACGAATCATTTTTAATGGCTATGGGTGTAGTAACATTCAGGCAAAGACTGATCAAAGTTTGTTTATATAACATAAAAACATATCTATTTTGTAAAGATCGATAAAATAAATCATTTTATTTTATTACATTGTGGTATTATTATCCATATATATTATCCACTATATTATCATTTTCACTGGATGCAAATGTGCTCAGACAATTATTATAGATGGTAGGCGACATCATAAAGTCTATTGCCATACATTTTTCACCAAACACCTCCATAAATACATTATAATCTGTATATATGTTAGACTTTAAGGTCTATCTATGGGCCTACGTTCCCTGACTATAAATTAATTAATAAATAAAATTATAAGGTGTGATAAACTAAAAATCTAAAATATGGTTATCTTAAAAACATAACAAAAATAATGAAGCTACTGAATATATGGCTATAGAACCTAAATCTCTTAGCTTTCTTTGGTTAACGAGAGTTTAAAAATTCTCTCTAATCTGTGGCTCATTCACAATCATCACACAGTTTCTGTCACAGAGTACCTTATTATAACCGGAAATGAACCTGATTTTAAAAGTTACTCTTATGCATTAACTTTAAAAACAGGCAACTATCAGTTAATCTACATGCTCTATATACTTGAATCTAATCCATAATTTCGGTACTTGGCTTGATTTCCCTAGTTTACTATAATTATAACTTATTTGTTTTTTATTATTTTCATATGTTCAGTGTATAAGGTTTATAGAAGTTCTTAGGGTCAATAATATTCGTTTGTACAGTAATTTATATATAATTTCGAATCTAGGAAACAATTTTTCATGATTATTGGTCTTTAGGCCAAACATGTATGGAAGCTGAGCAATCTCCTTTAGAAAATATCCAGAAATTTTGCTTGTGGATGACACAGGAACACGAAAATTTAAAATAATTTTGTGTAAATATGTACTACTAAGTATTCATTATGTTCTTTGGGATTTTTTGCACCTTTCTTCATAGCGAATGTACCAAAAAGAATTTATACTCGACTATTTTTTTTTAAGTCTTACTTGCCCCAGATATATAGTCAACTTTTTATCAATCGATACTAAATAGCAATATAATTTAACCTAAATTCGACGACCTCCGCAGTCGACTGGTATTTACGCCGGGTTTTAAGGTGTCGCCTACTCAAGACATCCCGGGTTCGAGTCCCGCTGGGGACAGATGTTTGTGTGATAAATGACATGACATTTGTACTCAAGTCATGGATGTTAAATATCTATTTCTATATATACCTAGGTAACACTGAAAATGTTTAGAAAATGAAAAACGGCTTTATGTAGAAAGTTGCCAATACTTTTATTGTTTTTCGAAGTAATCTCCGTTCCTCTCTACACATAGTCGCATTCGATGGAACCACTGAGAAAAGCAGTGGGCCCATTTTTCCTTAGGGATCTCTTTTATGGCATTTTCGTACGCTTTCACCGCATCTTCAGGGCTCGTAAAGCGGATATCTCGATTTTTATATTTAGTTCTTGGGAATAAATGAAAGTCGCAGGGTGCCAGGTCATGTGTGTATGGCGGATGACTCATTATCTCGACACCTGCCCTAGTCAAATATTCAATTGTCGTGGTCGTGGAGGATCCTGCTTTGAGGGCGCTGCTGTCGAATTTTTTCCAAGACAACAGGCAAACAGCGATTGACATACTAGTCTGTAGTAACTCTCCTTCCATCTTCTAGCACAACTGTCGCGAAATGACCGTTCCGACCAAAGAATGAGGCAATCATCTCTTTTTCTTGACTTCTTCCTTTCTTTACCTTAGTTGGCCGTTCCTCGAAAGGAAACACCCACTGAGCTGATTGTCTTTTGGTTTCGGGTTCATAGCAATATATCCAGCTTTCATCACCTGTGACGATGTCAAATACAGCATTTGAGTCACCGCCGTTAAACTTATCTAACATTTGGCGACACCAGTCCATGCGAAGGTGTTTCTGGTCGTCGGTTGAAGTATGGGGAATCCATCTGGTACAAAGCTTCCTGACGCCTAAATGTTCATGTAATATTTTTTAACTTGACTCATACCAATGCCTAGGCTTGCCCGTATCTACTGATAGGTCACTCTCTTATCTTCCTCTATTATGCGTCGCACAGCACTGATGTTATCTTCAGTAGTCGCTGTTAAAGGACGTCCCTCACGCGGATCATCATTGAGATTGCTACGTCCACGCTTAAACTCGTTAAACTAATTGTAAATAGTGGCACGAGACGGGGCTATATTAAGTAATGCTAATCGCAGCCTATCATAGCTTCGTTGTTGAGTAAGCCAATAACGAAAGTCGTAATAAATCATTGACCGAAAAAATTTCATTAGAAAATTAGGTTCATTTTCATGTTTAAAAAGAGATTTGCCGCCAATTCACAAAAACAAATGCCAAATGAATGCAATATATTACACCTAATGTAGTATATTGCATTCATTTGTCTTTTACCAAAGAGTTCTAAAATTTAAAAAAAGTTTTCATTAGCAATGATTCTAACTGGCCAGTTCTAAACATTTTCAGTGTTATCCACGTATATGTATTTTATCCGTTACCCTAGTATCCCATAACACAAGCCTACTGTGCTAACTTTGGGGCTAGGCTAATTAGTGTGGGTGTTGGAAATATTTATTTATTCGTTTTTTATCTAAGTGAACATTCACTATTCAAAACTTGTTCTTAAACATTTTAAAGGATTCTGTTCTTATTACCTTGAAAAAGTATCTGTTGTACTCAAAGTCGCTTGCTCCAAGTTTCAGGGGCGAGTTCAGAAGATCGGAAAGCGTCCTCACCGACGAGCTTGGCGCCCTGAGCAACACCACTATGTTGGCGGAATACGCCGCATACAGAATCGTCAGAGCCAGGAATAAGAGAAGTGTCACGGTCCTACCTGGCAAATATGAAGGTTGTTTACAACATAAAAGAGAAGAAAGAACGAACAACGAAACGGTTTTCTTAAAGCTAAAATTGAAACAAAATTGGGTGACACAAACATTTATGAAACACATAGGTATTTATTTAGGAGTTTGGTACTCTGAGCAAAATCACTATACAGGGCGTCCCACAGCTACCTCATACGGAGGGAAAGTATATTAAATATTGAAGATAGGATATTTTTCTAAAAGAAGACATCATTTTATTTTTAAAAATAACTAGAACTGCATTCACAGTTTTTTTTTAAATCGCCTGCTATAACTGGGAATCAAACTCGTGAGATTTCGAAAAAAAAATAAAAGATATTTTATGATAACCATCGAAAGTGTTAATCATAAGAATTATTTTTTGCTAAATAACATAGCCTTTTCAATGAAAGGAATGCCTTATTACGTGATAAAAATAATAAAATGATATACAAACTGTAGTACGTATGCTTTCTTTTTGAACTCACAGTTACAATGCGATTGGCTGTTTATAAAAATAATAATTCCAAAATGAAACACATAAATTTTCAAGCGTCTGTTCTTTTGTTTTTTGTGAGTTTCATTGCGTATCAAAATAAAATGGATTTAATGGAAGCTTACTTTATGAACCACAAAGATATATTAGCTTTGCGGTGGTACCTGATGGAGACGTACCTTCTCGATATGTGTTTAAATGGTTAGTAAATACTTTAAGAAAGTTAGGACATTTTGGTATGCGCTTACAGAAACCACAACAGCGGATGATAAACGTTTACGATGATGAACTCAACATTTTAACTTACTTTGAGGTGTATCCGATTTTATATTAGTTTGTGTTAAATAATTTGAAATAAAATGTTTAATTTAATTACTTTTCTTTCATTTAAAATGCTATGTTATTTAGCGAAAAATAATCCTCATGATTAACCCTTTCGATGGTTATCATAAAATATGTTGTTTTTTTTCGAAATTTCACGAGTTCGATTCCCAGTTGTAACAGGCGATTTTAAAAAAAAAAACTGTGAATGCTGTTCTAGTTATTATTAAAAATAAAATGATGTCTTCTTTCAGTAAAATATCCTATCTTCAATATTTAATATAGGTACTTTCCCTCCGTGTGAGGTAGCCGTGGGACGCCCTGTATAGGCGGAATATGCAGCGAGTGTGGGTATTATTAGCGTAGTGAGGGTATTAGTAAGGATGTGTATCACTTACAACATGAAAGAACAGAAAGCAAATAATTAAAACAAAGGATAAAAAATAATATATAAAAATAAAATTGAGTTAAATGTTCCATAAGTTAAAAATTTAACCCTACATAGTTGGATTTTAGAATAACTAATTATTATTAGCCGCTGAAAGATACGAAAACATTTCAAAAATATACATTACTGTTAAGGCTGTTAATTGGATTTCTTATAAGTTACATTTATCAGCCACTGAAAAATAATTGAGTGAAAGAAACATAACTTTTACAGCTATAGAATAACAGCAGCAGAATAACAACATCTTACCAGCAGCATATCTCGGTTCCAAAGTACACCCTTGTTGAAGTACCGCACCGATTATCAGAATAATAATATCAGCCCATGATCCATTCAATTGGAATTGATGCTGTATTGAAAATATACATTAATCTTTGCAATATTAAAATTAAGATTATAATTAAAATAAACTAAATTTTTATATAATAAATTGAAGTAATGCAATCGCAGCGTCACACTATCTAAACGAAATTTCTGTACCAATCTCTCTAAATTATTTTTTAACAAATATTTAAAAACACAAACTCAAAGTTAAAGGTGTCAACAACGACTAGCAGATAATTTGGTGTTAATAATATTTAAATAAATATTTGTAGCCTCCAGCTCATCGAAACAGACGTATTCGCACTGGATGATGAAACTAATTTTTGTGGGTTTACAGCGGTTTCACAAGAACATTATAATATACCATACTTATGCTGGCTTCCCATTTAGAGGTGATATAAAGAAACACAGAACAGCCAAGTACGCAGACGATGATGGCGAGCCAGACTGCGCGGCTGAAGGGTTGAGTGAAGATATTAGAGATGTAGGAGAGGGGCGGCTCTCGGAATACGAATTTTACAGCGGTGGACCCCACCATGGCGATGTAGTCGATTATCTCCATCCGCTCTTGCGTGAAAATCGTGAGAGTTCCTGCAGAAGCAATATTGTAGAACATTAAATTGTTAACAGCATAAATGAGCCCAACTGCATTTACATAATATAGGTTATATTATGTAAAATCATTTATTATAACTTAATGCCATAATATAGGTTTAATATTATTCTTAGTGCGTCGGTCAGAATAGCGAAAGGTGCCATTGCGGGTTCTGCCTGACCAAGTGAATTTTTTTCTAGTAAAATCTTGTTTACCTAAGTCAAAGCTAAAGAAATGGAGTCGCACTTAAAAGGTAAATACATTGTAATGCTGCCAACGCTTACAAAATGTTCGTGATTGAGCATTGCATTTTGGAGGCATGGCTTAATAAGATTAGTTTTTTATGGAATTTCATAAGAAACAAAATTTAATTAAAATGAAATGAAAAACCTGATAGTTTAATTACAGAAATGAGTCCTCTTCTGACTTCTCTTACATTAACATTTTAGAAATAGATTTTATAAAGGTATTTATGGTGGTAAAACATAATTTAAATACTTAAATTGCTTCCCAACATCATTTAGAAATTCTAGTACGCATATAAAAATTCACCTAAATCTGCCTCCTTTTTGTCGAGGTAGTCAACTATGCCCTGCCAGTTGCCATGCTTGTCTTTGTATCCCCACGTATGAGTGAATATCAGCTTTTCAGACGCGTTTAACATTTCAAAGCAAATCTTCACCGCGGTGTAAGACATTTTGGTGATCGAGTCTTGATGGAGATACCTTTAAACACACATAAGCAATATAAAATAAAATGCTGAATTACTTTACCCTTAAATCAAACAAAGTCCTTCGTATCCAATACAATAATGCCTTCATGGCACTGCTACGGCTGCCGCGATACTGTTGTGCTTTGGAAATGTTCGCAGATGCGAACGTTTCCCGGCTTTTTTACCCAAAAAGGCAATTCATTGTTCAGGCGGGTTTGCGATAGCCGCAGCAGGGTCGTGAGCAATTAAGTTGATCGTGGGAACTGTTTTCAAAAAAGTGTTGCAATACTTTGGCTACATGGCCCGAAAGTCCTCTGATAACCTGGGTGAACTGATTGTTACGGAGAAGTATGAGGGCAAAAGAGCAAGAGATCGCAGTCCTAGTGGATGGAACGACCAGGTGTCAAAGTGGCACAGCACCACCATCACTGACGCTCTTGACCGGTTAAAGATAGAGAAAACTGGAAGCAGCTCTGTGAAGGAAAAATAAGTCGGGAAAATCACGGCGCTCAGCAGTGACTTAAGACAGAAGAAGGAGAACTGTCCAATGATTAAATTTTTTGTTGATAAGTTTATATCTGTTTTTTTAATTTACAAATACACTATTAAGTTTTTGTATACATACTAACACATGCAGCTATGTTGTCCGAATAATATAATAAATGATTTGAATAATGATATTGAAGTTGGGAAAAATAGTTTGGCCTTTCAATTAATGTTATTCAAAAACTGTCAACCACAGTTTCACTCCCTTAAAAGTTGATTACTTTGATTAAAAATACCTTGGAATTCTACTTTTTTGGGATAGCCCAAACTTCATCTAAATCGGTTAAGAGTTTTAAATGTGAAATGGTAACAAACTGATGGACAGTAATGGGGACAGTTTCGTATTTGCAATATTAGTTAGTAAAAGTAACTTGGAAGTAATATTATAAAGTAGTACTCGTATTCATTGTTATTAAATTACTTTATAACAGTAAATAAACTTGGTGATACATAACAACCATAATGACTATACTTGTTCCTCAAATGATTTATTATTTTAATATATTTTCAGAGTTAATCAAAGATTACCTTGAAATATCGATACATAATAAATTCGTCTTAAACAGCTAAGTCGTGTCTACTTGGAATTCAACCACAACCTAAATATCAAGTTTCATCGTTATTTACATAAGAATGCTTACAGAAATATTTGAAGTATTTCAATAGTAAGATATTTAACTAACTTCGTATAAAGAATAAATAAATAAATTAAGAATATAATTATCATTTATTCTTACAAACTCTATGTTTTGATTTTAACCTACTGCGCCTTGTATAAATGATAAAATAAGATAAGATAGAAGTGAAACGAAAGCTCAAATCTAAAAAAGCTACGAAAAATTAAACGAAAATATAAAAAAAACAAAAATTTCGAAAATATATGGCAATCAGCGGGATCGAACTCAAGACCTCTTGCACTCGAAGGAGCGTTTGTTGCTTTATGGTGGCCATTCATCACCTTGATCAGCTTGATCAAGCCAAAATCCCTTCATCATGTGGCATGTCTTTCCAAAATGTCTCCCCAAACACGGTCAGTTTGGCTTGATTAAGCCTATTTGATCAAGCGGCGGAATGGTGAGTGGCCACAATAGACTAAGTTACTACTAACAACTTTGGGCAAATACTGAAAGTTACAGAGGTTTCGGTAATAGTCTTGCGAATTCATTGCTTTTTATCACCTCTCAAAAAATGCCCGACGAGCTAAAAAAGTTTCCTCGCAGAAATCAGATGACAATATTATGGTTAATCATAATGTCACATCACTACCAGTTTGTGTAGGGCACAGCTAATACCCTCCTACGCAACTTTAGTGTGTCGAGTAATCAACGCTACTAAAGATTTTATCTCATGAATCTTACACATTTACAGCATTTACTTTCATGCACTCGCATGTTACTTATTATTCTGAGTGATAACATGACCATGTGAATTTCCAACCACAATTCCCCTATTAAAACAATTGTTATTGTTGTTTCCTCATGCAATATTCAGTTCACGTAAATCCAATGCCACTTTGGTGTAGAAAAAACGGTGCGACATCTGCGACAGCAACGCATAAACGCAGTTAAAAGTTGAGGATATATAGAGGTAAAACAGATGACATATTTATCGTTATCGTGACCAATATTACATGACATCTACTATGTATTGATTTTAATAGAACATCCTTTGGGCGGTTACTTTTCACAAATTTAAAAAATACTATTTAAACCGATTGTCGCTCATCCGATTATGTCGATAATTGCCATAAAAATGGACTATTAACTCTTGAAGAGCGTAGGATACTATCGGATATGATCTTTCTGTTTGATATCGTAAGAAGCAATATTGATACCCCTGAACTTTTAGCTAACATTAAATTCTGTACCCCAAAGCGTCGTACTAGAATCACCACGTTATTCGCTACTCCACGACATGTTACTTTGTATGGAGCAAATGCAATTCTGACTCGGTTACCTGTCTTATATAACAGACTTTTTAGTGGTGTAGACATTTTCTCAAATACTAACAGCGCTGTCAAAACCAATATAATTTCCATATTAAAGTATCAACACTAATAGCCGCCTTGCAACGTTCTCACGCGACCTGGCATTATTAAATGCATACCTACATGTAACTTTAGTTTAGCACAACGACAGTTTTTGTACCTAATTTAATTCGTAGAAACCTGTTATTGGCCATTCTTATTACTAAGTTCAATTATGTAATATCTATTTGTATAGCTGTTGGTTTCTCAAAAATAAATAAATAAACCAATCAAATAAGAACACACTAAATTTCTTACTCTTAAAAACGGTCTGCAAAATTAATCAAACCTTTGTGTATATTTATTTTACTTACAATCTATCATCCAAATGTTTTCGCGTTTCGTTGCTATCAGTTATTACGTTAACCATCGTCAATGTATGTCTCCTCAAATTGTGCCTTTTCGATGATAACACTTTCGATAGTCTGTAGTCTTTCAAAAAGCCTCGAGCTTGTACTGCTGTGTTATCATTATTTAGGTCTGACATTAATCCGAAGGTTGTTTTCTTTTGGTAAGTACTTGCATACGGTTTTATGTTGTCAGTACCAGTAACCTCTGATAATGAATTATTTAAATCTTTATTTGTGGGAAACCACATTGATCTCGTTGTGTAGATCAAATCAGAATTCTTAGCCACTCTGTAAACTGATAAGTGTTATTTGCTGATTAGTTTCTCTTAGTTATGTGTTTACAAAATAAAAACAATATTTAACCTGTCTCAGTAATAGTTAGTGTGAAAATATTTTGTTGTTTCTTTTTATTTCAAACTCATGACACTGATAACAATGTCTGACTTATGCGTTTGTAGATTTGCAATAATGATGAAATAATATTAACACCATATTATTCTTATGTCAGAAAGCCATTAAAAATAAATTTATTTACTTTAAATGCGTTTGTACCAGCTAGCTATTATTATTATGTATTAGTCTTATAAGTAATGATGATTACTTTGTCTGTTTGAACTTTAGAATAGTGGATCCAACTTTCAAAAGATTCTAAAAGTAAAAACTTTATATACAGAAAGAAGAATAAGGAATGATTGTGACGCAGAAGAGACATTAATGGAATAGTGATAAATCAATAAGAAATTAAAACCTTTGTTGTAAGCATTTAAATAAATTCTGCAAAAGTCCGGCAAAATTAAATATGCAGCAAGCGTGTCGATTATGAGATTAATCCTCATGACCTTATGTGTCAAGGGATTCGTGATGGTGATCTAGCTAAACGCATATAGCATTATGATCTATCTAATATTTACATCTACAACGATAATTTATCAACATGCAAATCATTATAATGGAGAAGACATATTTAAGTTCCATAGTTATACAAATAATTTTAAAATTAACTAACTTTACAGAAGGAATCTATCTTACAGACACCTTCGTAGCTTGCTGCGAACATGTTGGGTATTGCGTGTTTTAATTTTTTTTTTGCTAAAAGTTAGTAGCGCCCTCTTATCACTAAATAAGCCTTCACTTACGTTGTGCCAGTCTGTGCCTAAGTGGGCTTTTTACGTAATGTCCATTTGAATTCCCGCTGGTGCAACAAACATTAGAAAAAAAATCATGAAGTACTAAAATTCTTAAATAATTACTTCCAACTCCCATTTCTATATGTTCATAATATTATACATGTTTATAAACGTGATAATTTTTTACAAAACATTTCAGCTCCATATTATATCGAAACGTACCTATGTCCAAATTGAATAATTTGAAAAAATTGGAAAAAACTATTTACATAGCATTCTTACTTTTCTGTTTTTCGGTAAACCAAACGATTCGCAATTCACCAATTTTTCAAATAATAATCATAGTGTAGAGAATGTATATAATTAGAGCGTCTTTGGTAAATACTATATTATAATAGTCATAAATGGATACATATGTAGGTATAAGTAAATAAAACAGGTTTTAAACTCGATACATTGCATTCGCTACCTAAATTCCTTAGTTCTTAGTTGAGAATTTCGACGTCTTCATCAGGTTGCTTAATTAGCGTATACTAGTCTGATGTGTGTTAGTGATTAGATTATCAATTGACAAACGTCACAGTATATCCTGTACTCAGCATGTCCACTTTAAAGACAGTTACAAAAGTCAAACTACAGACACTATATAGAACAAAATATAAGAAATGTCAGTTACAAATGGATTTGCATGCTGTTTCCTTTATTAGATCAGTTAGATACATTTTCTCGGAAGGCTTAGGCAAACGGATAGACAGACGGACGGTCCGCGTAATTAAGACCCCACTGGTGCTGCTAAAAATATGATAAAGGGCTTCATATTATTGTAAAATTAAAATACTTATGTTGGACAATAATTTTTGAGATTTTTTTTTGTATACTTTTAATGTTCAGGGTAGGTACTGTTTTATTTTTACTAGGAACACGTGCAACGATTTTTTCCACAATTAAAGTTTTAACAAATTTTATTGCACATTACGTACGAGTTTCGAACGAATGATGTCTGGAGGTTACGGAATACGTCTGCATAATTATTTTTTATAAAGTACAGACAAATACAGAACTAGACTGGCAATTTTCTCCTACTTAGAGCTTTAAGAAGCGTAATATAAGATTCAGTTTATTGAGAAAATTTGTCAGTTTGTGGTAACTTGAGATGTGTCCTAAAGAGTGGAAACTGTAATCAGCATTCAAATTGGTTTTTTTTCCTCCATTGGACTTTTATAGCTAAATGGATTTTTTATACGCATATTCTTAAAAATATAATGCATATTGAGTATTGAGATACAACTTAAAAAATAATTTATTGGTTGCCAAAAATACTGGATATGTAAGCAACTTTGAAGTAACAACAAAATGGTTTACTTCAATTTCTATCTGCACTTTTAAACGAGTATATAGTACATACTTTACTTAATAAAAAAAAATCTGTCAGCCTTAAACACTTATTCCAACTGACTAAATTCAGACGTCCTAGTTAGGATCCTAAAAAGAAGGCTAATTAGAAGCTTCTGATTACACTTGACTAATTTAGATACTGATTCAGTCAGTTACAAGCGCGCCGCGAATTCAGTCGGACTTTTTCGTAATGGCTCCAGTCCTGTCAAAGCAACAAAAAAAACTGTCTTCTCGTAGGCCTGGCCGTTGGCTTAATAAAAATAAAATAAAGTAAAAAACGAAAAACGTGGGTGAAAGAAGAATATTAATACTATTTTTATTATTTTTGTTCCAAAGATACGGCATATGTTTATACAATTCGATTATGTTAGTCAGTCCGAAGCCAAACTTCTTCCGATTTAGGATGCTAATTAGGATCCTAACTTCCTAAATGCTACTACTTCACTGAATTAGTTACTGAATGATTTAGAACATTTGAATTTAGACAGGTGGAATAAGCGCTTTAAGAATGCATGTCCGAGGGAATAGAATTTTCATTTGAGCGTTGTTTTGCATTTTTCTTTATAAATGTAAAAAGATTGGCATTGCCTCATATTATGGTTCACATTATTATGGTTGGTGGAAATCAGAAATCAGAAATCAATATATCTTTATTCAAATTGGATGTATAGTACAACTCTTTTGAATCGTCCAAATTTTTTTCCCCTACCACTCGTTACGGACATATTTTTTAGCTGCGGAGAAAAACGAGCGATTAAAACTACACTACATTAAAAGTCTAATGTAACAACATTTACTAATCATTATGTTGTTACAACGTCAATACAATTATGATTTATTTAATATAGAAAACCTGTTAGATATATCATATCATCATTATAGCCTGTCCTCTCGGCTGTGTAGCCATGTACTTTGTTTATCACGGCTGGAAAATCAAAAAGTTTACACTTATTATTCGAATTTTACTGTACATCCAGGCTTCATTAATGCCTTGAATCAATCCTGAATAGTTTCTCTACAAACTTATTATATTATATTAGACTAGTGGCCCGCCCTCGCTACGCTTCGGTATAGAGCTGCAGTGTAGACTATAGTTTTTGTTCTCAGGCTTGTATTATAAACAATGACTTTATTTATATAATTACTACTAGCGGACCCGACAGACGTTGTCCTGTCTACACGTCTTTGTGAATCTAAACCATTCTCAGATCCCCTTGAACACACACAAAAAATTTCATCAAAATCGGTCCAGTCGATTTAAGAGAAGTTCAGTGACATACACACTCACAGAAGAATTATATATATAAAGATAGGCACGCACCGCCCGCCCCGGGTAACCGCTATGTCCCTGCATCTTAAATCTGGAATATCTTCATAAATACTCATTTAAATTACATGCTGCAAAGGGCCATATTGATCTATATTTAATGCACAATGTATTTAAGGTACTTGGTTGGATAAGGATTGATAGTGTATTGCTTAAAATCGCTTCGTAAATAAGCCATTATTTCTCTTAAAAAGTAAAGGATAAAAAATGGTTATTGTGGGTTATCTCTAAGAGATGGACACCTACCATCACGGACTTTTTTGGAGACCTTTTTAAGATGTACAATACTGTAGTACATTATATTGATCTATCTCGTAGGTTTCAGCCAGCGTTTGCAATGTAAGCGCAAAAAGATTTGTTTATTTACTACCTTACAATAAAAACCTCTAAAATTATCAGTGTTTCTCTACTATATTATGCACTAGCGGCCGCCCGTGACTTGTGACTTGACCACGACTATATGACCCACCCCTGACGCCAAAGCTGGATCCGCCTCTGTACACGTGGAGTTAGTTAGAAATAAAGGTTCACTGCTCGTTCCCCGTGTGTGATAGAGTGATAATATGTAACCTATATGTTGATCCGACTTCTTAATAATATTCGCGCCAAATTTGAAATAAATCCTGCAGTACTTTTTGAGTTTATCCCGGACATACATACAGACAAAAATTCTAAAAACTATATTTTTGGCTTCGGTATCGTTTGTAGTTTACACCCAGAGTATTCTTTTAAAAAAATATTCAATGTACAGTTTTAACTTTCTTACCATTTTATTATATGTATAGATGTCTTGTACATATAAGCCTTCCTCTTGAACCACTCTATCTATTTAAAAAAAACCGCATCAAAATCCGTTGCGTACTTTTAAAGATCTAAGCAGACATAGGGACAGACAGACAGCGGGAAGCGACTTTGCTTTATACTATGTAGTGATGTGTAAAATAAAAACTATTACTAAATGTGATAAAACCCAAAATAGGAAAAATGAAAAAAAATGTAAAAAACAACCCCTGACAGAAATCATCCACTAACACATACGAGGGGCTGATGACTGCGATACCAGAGTATCGAATATACTCGAGGTGTTGTAGCTCAACCTACCCCAAAGTTCCCGACTCCATACCCTAACCCGTCCGCCCTATCTTACTTATTGACAGAAACACAACACAAAATTTCAATTTGAGTGGAAAATCCTCATTTCCCTCTCGTCACGCATTTAGCGTAAAAAAGTAAAAAAAATATTATAAGGAATTTCTTTAAAAAAGTATAATTTATACCGCTGAGCTTAAGTTATCATACTATAATATACATTTATAGTTACAATTATAACTTTAGAAAGGATTTCTTTTTCTAATAATTTAAAGTTAATTTGACAGTTGTAATAATGCCATTCGTAATACATCCAGTTTAATGGGACCTGTTTAGTCAATGTTCAGTATAATATCTAAAATTCTGGCCAAAGATAGGCGTCTGACGTATATGGCTTTCTTTATATTTGGCGGTAAGACTTACAGGAAAGATTAAGAAAAATGCAAATACACCGTGAATTATGAGTTGCCCGCGAAACTATCCTAGCCACTTCAGAGAACGATTTATTCCGCGATAAAAAAAAATGTTTAAAAAAATATTATCTCCACGCTAACTCTCTAAGTACTGCAATTATGAAACCTTTACCAATTTTAGGATCTATCTACTTTAAATGGATTATTTATTATTCTTTATTATTTTATACCACTAAAGGAATGTCATTTACAATTTTGCGTCATTTTTTTATTATAAAATAAATTTAAACAGTATTAATCAAAATATTTATATGGGAGTGTAGCTGTTCATACTGTTTTTAATAACACAATTTTTAAGTTTCTCAGATAACTAAAAAGTCGCGGCAGCAGAAACATTAGTTACGGAAAGAAATAATATTAATAGTAAACAATGAGGAGCTCGATGGTGCAAATGGATAGCGCAGTCGGCTGCGATCGTTGAGGTTAAGCAACTTTCGCAGTGGTCGGTCATTGGATGGGTGACCAAAAATTTACTATCTTGAGCTCCTCCGTGCTGCGGAAGGCACATTAAGCCGTTGGTCCCGACTGCAACTGCAGTCGTTAGCACCCACCAATCCGCACTGGGCCCGCGTGGTGGGTCATGGCCCAATCTCCCTATTCCATCTATAGGGAAGGCCTGTGCCCCAGCAGTGGGGACATTTATAGGCTGATGATGAATACCAGGGGAAAGTTAGTAATGTGCTTGCGATTACCTTCAATGAACTCAAACGTGTTGTCTTCGACTTCATTGACGGCTACAACATCACTGTCCACCAACATGTCAATAGCTTCTAAAATATTAGTACCATTATAATCGTTGCGTAAATTGAACATCAACCAGCGATAAGGTGATTTGAAGTAGCCATCTTTGTTGGCCTGCAGACAAAAATGTTATTGAGTAACTCTTAGAAAATTTCAACGTAGGTATTTGATTTTTCTTCAATAGAAAGTTTTTTTTTTATAATTAGGTAGGCAAATGACTCTACCCCACCTGATGTTAAGTGGTGATAAAGTCCAAACGCGAAGATAGCTGGTACACCAGTTATAAACTGCTACACCAACCATCCACCTTGCCGGCCCGCAAAAATTCTTCTTCACGCCTCTCTTAAAGGACCCCAGATTATAGGAAGGAGGGAACACGTGCGCGGGCAAAGAATTCCACTTACGAATAGTACGACAAAAAAATGAGTAGCCAAATTTCTTTGTTCGTGTGGGAATAGTGGCCACAGTAAGTCGGTGGCAACGTAGGCCAGCGCGCGTGGTCCTCTGAAGAAAAGGTGATGGAGGGATAAGCGAGAATAGCTCCTCAGAACATTAGGTAAAGATTTAGGTTGCTTATTAAAAAAACAGCTGGGTGAAAGCATAATTAATTATTGTTTGCCAGGTGCCACAATGCACCAATTAATGAAAAAAATATTAACTTTAGAACTTGACAAAAATACAAGTTTAATTATTTTAATGGGTAATAGAGGCAATATTAACAAAAATGACATTATGACCTACTATAACTCTTTGTGTTCTTTAAATGTAAATAGAATAGTTATGTTTACATTTCCATATAGTAGGAGTCTATCAAATGAAGAGATTAATATTAGGTATAGGCTAAATTTGGCATTAAGTACCATGACTCAGTATAGTAGTCAAATAGTACATCTAATAGATATAAATAAATTAATATATAATTATAAAATGACAAGAGATAAATATTATCTTTCGTATTACAATAAGAGACAAATAGCTTCTTCGCTATTATTTTATTTTACACACATAGCCAAAAATTTGGCTATCACTACTGCTTCTATTGAGCAGCATAATTATGTAGATCAGACCTTGGAATTTGTTCCAAATACTGACATTAATTGTAATTTAAATTAGTTCTTAAGACAACAGAGGAACTCTCTAGCTACAACATGACCAAGGAAAAGTCTAAATACCTAAATATTGTTCACCAAAATATACAAGGCTTTTCTGGTAAAGACCTAGAAATATGCTTATTTTTAAATGCAAAGAATATTAGAATATTATGTATTACTGAGCACTGGCTCAGAGATTATGAATTAGTTATGAACTTAGATAATTATACAGTTGCTAGTAGTTTTTGTAGGAAATCGGCTATCAGGGGAGGCTCTCTCATAATCTTACAGAATGATCTTAAATACAAAGAACGTTCAGATATTGTTTCACTTTCAGTTGAACGTAATATTGAACTATCTTGTGTGGAACTTGATGAAATGATCATAATATGTGTATATCGACCCCCATCTGGGAATTACACTCAATTTGAGTCCGCTATGGAAGACGCTTTCAATATAGTATGTAAATGTAATAAAGTGCTTGTTGTATGTGGTGATTTTAATATAAATATTTTAGTTAAGTGTCCGTTAGTGGGTAGGTTTCTAAACTTATTTAAATCATATAACTTGAAGCATATCTTCTTTGAGCCTACCCGCATCACACATGCATCAGCAACCTGTTTGGATAATATTTTTTGTAATAGGAAAGTTTTTAATAAATCAATAATAAATTGTATTAATTCTGATCATAGTGGACAATTAGCCTCTCTTGAACACCATCATGCTTCACACAAACATGACCTAACTTATAGACCAATTACACAAACGGGTATAAATAAATTTAAAGATAGTGTTTATCATAAAATGTCGGACTTACCAGTTTGTAATAATAATAATATTTTATATGAAGATTTATTTAATTTAATTAAAGATGAATTTAATAAAATATTCAAACGCAAAGTAATTAAATGCCATAGCTCTAAAAAGAATTTTAGTGATTGGGCCACACCTGGTATTTACAAAAGTAGAAATAAGTTGTATCAATTATATGCTCTCAAAGCAACCTCATCTGATCCTAAGTTTATAGAATATGTCAAATACTATTCAAAAACTTTTAAAAAGGTGTGTGCCATAGCGAAAGCTAAATTTTTATCAAAAAAAATTAGTCTATCAGATAATAAAATAAAGACAACTTGGAATATAATTAATAATGAAACTGGAAGAAATAAATTCAATGAACGCACATATTCTTTAAAAATAGACAACAAGATTATTCGGACAGATGATGCCGTTGCCAACACTTTTGAAAATTTCTTTTCTAGTGCACCGTTTGAATCAACTAGAAATCTTAATTCTTGTTCTAGGTTAGCAATGACCCTCCTTGAGTCAAGCGTTGATAAGTGCAGTAATGATTTTTATTTTAGACATATCAGTAGTGATTGTATTATAAAAACATTTAATTCTATTAATATTAAAAAGACAGAGGATTTATGGGGAATATCAACATATATAATAAAACCGATTATCACTGTCATTGCGCCACAACTGGCCATTATATTTAACAAATGTATTGATGAGGGAGTGTTTCCAGATCTAATGAAATGTGCTAAAGTTATCCCTCTTTTTAAGGCTGGTGATAAATCAGATCCCAGCAATTTTAGGCCTATATCTGTATTACCAGCGCTAAGTAAAGTATTTGAGAAAATAATTTATAACCAATTACTAGCACACTTTTCTATAAATAAGCTACTTCATTTAAAACAGTTTGGTTTCACTAGAGGCAAAAGTACTACTGATGCTGGAACTGCACTTCTCAAACACATTTTTGATATATGGGAGAGTAAGCACGATGCTATTGGCATTTTTTGCGATTTATCTAAGGCGTTTGACTGCGTTAGCCATGAAACATTGTTAAATAAAATGAAGCATTATGGTGTATCAAATATTTCACTAAGTCTGATACAGTCTTATCTTTCTGCTAGGATTCAGAAAGTAGTTATAAATGAAGCTGAGTCTACAGGAGCACCCATTTCTATGGGCGTGCCCCAGGGTTCAATATTGGGCCCATTGCTTTTCCTTATTTATATTAATGACCTTCCTCACTTTACAAGAGATTTGTGTGAGACAGTACTATTTGCTGATGACACCTCTTTAGTGTTTAAAGCTAGGAGAGGAAATGATTGTTATGACGAAGTAAATTGTGCTCTCTCTGAAGTCCTTCGCTGGTTTACGGTAAATAATTTAAAACTAAACTCTAGCAAAACAAAATGTGTTAAGTTTACTTTACCTAATGTGAGGCAGGTTAATACTAGTTTAAAAATAAATGAGCAGCCTGTAGAGTTAGTGGATTCTACAAAGTTTCTGGGTATTACTTTAGACTCGCATCTGCAATGGGATCCTCATATTGATGCCTTATCAAGTAGACTGAGCTCTGCGGCCTTCGCTGTTAAAAAAATAAGACTCCTAACTGATGTGGAAACGGCAAGAATGGTTTACTTTGGTTACTTTCATAGCGTTATGTCATATGGCCTTTTGTTGTGGGGCTCAGCTGCTAATATAGAAAGTATTTTCGTACTGCAAAAGAGAGCTGTTCGCGCCATATATAATTTAAAGGCAAGAGAATCTCTTAGAGAAAAATTTAAAGAAATTAATATTTTAACACTGGCATCGCAATACATTTATGAAAATATAATATATGTAAGAAGAAACTATGACGCATTTGCAAAAATAAGTCAAACCCATAACTTAAACACGAGATTTAAGAACAAGCTTGCCGTTCCATGTTTCAGACTCCAAAAATCTAGAGGTTCATTTCTGGGATGTAGTATTGCATTGTTTAACAAAGTTCCCCAAGATCTGATTGAGCTTCCACTAACCAAATTTAAATCTCAGATTAAGAATACTCTTATGAATAAGGGCTATTATAAAGTTAATGATTATCTAAATGATCGTAATGCATGGACATAGTGTTTCTTGTAATTTCTTATTTGATGGGTATGAGTCAGTTTTGTAACAGTAGTATGGTACCTATCTAATGCCGCTTCCTATATATACTAAATATAAAATTTGTTGTAACTATATATCTATACCCTAAATAATGTAATGGAAGGTGACTTCAGAAGTATGTCTGAAGTCATTTTTCAACTTGACGACTCTGTATATATCAATACAGGGAGAAAAAAGCAGCCCTTGCTGAGTTTCTTGCCGGTTCTTCTCAGTACAAGGTCTCCCGCCGTAGTTTTGCGAACCGATGGCGTAGCTTCTTGACTTTCACAAGTGCTTGTAACAGCCTAGACTGAATAAATGACTTTTCATTTCATTTTCATTTCATTCGCCGTGGTATAGTCGGTAGAATGCGCTTAATGATGCCACATCACGGCGTCATTGCAGAGACTCGAGTTTCTTAGTTACCTCTTCATCGCCAATGATGCGGGCAGCGCGCCGCTGTAACCTATCCAAGGCATCGAGTAAGTACTTAGCGGAGCCATCCCAGAGGTGCGAGCAATATTCCACGCAGGACCGCACTTGCGTTTTGTACAACAAGCACAGTTGATCGGGCGTGAAAAAACGCCGCACCTTGTTCAGGACTCCGAGTACGGAGAGAGGTGACCCCGTCGTGCCATCATTGTGGCGCTGTCCTTAAAGAGTGCCCATAGTGGTCTGGGAAGCGCTAGAATATGATCATAGCAATAGGACAGGAGCTTTCTCTACCCAGCGTTGTGAAAGCAATACTGGACAGCGGTAATCTCCTTCTCTCTTCTTCTTCATTCTCCAGAAAGAGACAGAGGGCCCGTGAGGATGACCATCTATAGTAAGACTAGCGGATGGCAGATTAGGGTAGTCTGCCATCTGCTTTGCACTGTCCTACTCGTCTTGGGAGATGCCTCAGTGCTCCCGGGCATCTCCCGACTGCAAGGAAGAAGGGGTAATACGAAACCCGTTCCGCCAGACGAGGGAGTACTGTTAGATCCCCTTCTGTTCTTTCCGGTTGGTTGAGTTGATAACCGGGATGCTGGGATAGCACAAAATAGACAGTACTGAAAGTAATCTATCTACATACAAAGTGCGTTTGAGCAACGCAGACATGGACACAGCGTTTCGTTACTCGCGCTTTGGGCACGTACCCAATAATACTTTTCTTTAGATTTAAACATCTAGCAGTTAAATGCTTAAAAAAATAAATAAAAACATAACTATAATTGCTATTTCTGCTATCAAATGTTTAATACTTTAAAAAGTATTCATTTGACATTGTGGGTTACCTACAATGCGAAGAGATGGCGCTGCCTTGCAGCTTAAGGCTAGGAAAATTTCGGCGCGGCCATGAGGGCCGTGGTAGCATAATTGGTCAGTGCATTCGCCCGGATTGCGAAGGGTGCGGGTTCGAGTCCCGTCCGCCACCTGATCCGCGTGTTTTTTTTTTTTATTTGTAGTAAAACTTTTCTTTAGATGTAAACGTCTAGCAGTTAAATGCTTAAAAATAAATAAAAAGATAATAATGTGATTTTATTAAGAACCTATACAAATTACTAATAATAGCCTATAAAAGTCAATCTCGCGGAAGTATTAACAATAATTACAGCACTAGTCTACGCAACTGGTTTTTTTAATCTGTCGATTGGGCATGCATAATAAATTGAATCTGAAATTAAAAAGTATGGTAATAGTATAATTAGAGTAGATGTTAAGCACTCACTTTCTCTAGAAAGTGATCGACTCCAGGACATGCTAAATCAACCATCACCACCAAATGTTGTAGGTAAAACTCATTTTTGTTCTGTTCCAAGGAGTCCGATATTCTTATACCGGTTTGGCTCAACTGCTTTGCCAGTATTTTTACTTGATCTGTAATAAAAAAAAAACAAATAATTTGCTACCAAACTGTTTAGTTAGGCTTCCATCGGTAAAAAAGTGTATTTACATTCGTTAATTAAAATAGATTTGAATTATTTGTAGAGCGTTTTTGATTGTATTTTTAATGCAAGCAAATAGTAGGACAGAATTTCATTGGAATTTTAACTAAATAATATTATAGATAGTTTACGAAAATATCAGTTTTACTATACTTACGTTGTTCCCAGCACAAATTCGGTATCAGCACAGACGTGGGTCGATGATCTTGCACCAAAAATGAAGTTACCGCATTAAGCAGATCATTGTTCTTGCCATTTACTAACGCAAACCAAAATAGTTTCAAGAGAACGATTGCTTTTAATAGCATGGTTTTTTTTTTCTCGAGTTTATTATGAATGGATCAAATTTGGGACTTATTTTAAAGAAAAGAGTTCTTATAACTTTCTTTTAAACTCAATGAAGACCACTGAAAATTATACTTTTTTGTCATTACATGAAAATATTTTTTTTTGTCAATATTTCTATAGAAAATATTACTAGAAAAATATCCGTGCGGAACAGGCAGCAGAAGGGACCCGTCTGTTGCCTGGGGGCCATTCGCCTAACGGAAATGCTTTGGAAAACGCTATCACTTACGATTTCATTTTGTTATTTCTAGCCGCCTGAGGTTCTCAATCTCAAATACCTCGCGCTCTTTTTTTTCTTTTGCATTGGTAATAACAATATGAAAGAAAATGGGCGTGAGGTATTTAAAAACCTTCGGTGGTCAGAAATAACAAAAAGAAATCGAAAGCGTTAACTAGCGTTTTCCAAAGCATTTCCGTTAGGCGAATGGCCCCCTGGTCCGTGTGAATTTTTTCTAGTAATATTTTCTTTTGATTTAAACTTCGAGCAGTTTCATGCTTAAAAAATTTAAATTACAACGATATTTCTATAGCTTATATGTATTATTTCAATTACACTAGCTGGCTATTGAGTTGTTCATTTGTTATTGAGAAGCATACACGAATGCCGTTATATTTGTGTTTTATTACGCACTTAAAATCAACTTAAGGATTTGTAGGCAAGCGCTCAAGAGTACAATCGCCGACATTATATCGTTTGTTTGTTTTTCGCTGGTTTCAGTATATTTTATATTTGGTATGTTAATATTTTCATCAGGGCAATCGAGCCTAAAAGAATTGTACGTTTTCTTTAATTATTTTTCGGTATATTTTTTATAGTTTTGACTTGGAAGTTTGATTGTTTCATTGGTTACTCCAAGGGCCGTAGAAATTAATATAATAACAAATACTAAGGTCTACTATGTATTTGTTTTTTTTTTATTTGTTAATGGGTAAGTTCTTAGTTCTCTATGCGACCAGAGAGCATAGATAGGATCTACGGTGTATTGAGCTTACCCAGAAGGAGCCTATTGACTCTGGCTTGAAAAAGAGTCTGGTTATTAAGAGTTGATCGCTGACTGTTCTAACTGACGGCGAGAACTCGCTCCACTAAGCATCTCTTTATTTTAGAGCGAGAAAATAGCCAACGATATTGTAGTCGCTTTCTCGCCGGCGGTCAGACAACTATTTTGTGATTGAATAAAAAAACATTATTATAATAGACATACCTATATTTTCTTTAATAAGAAAATATTTTCTTTTGTAAGAATTTTCATACCGATTGTCCCTTCTATAAGAGCACTAATGCGAGCAAATTACATGGTACGATGATGTTACGCTCCCTTCGACGTAATGACATGTTCTGGTTTCTACATATGAGAAACAACTCATTCTCATATACCTTTTATAGCATCGAAAGAAAAAACTACACCTGTTTAACTGCCGTTAGAAGGAGTATTTTCTGAGAATCTATTAGAACAGTTTATCTACTTTCCCATTCAAATGTCCCATCAATCACATTACCAAAACGTTTTTTAGAACAGTCTATGATAATCATTGATAATAAACATATAGGGAGTACCTAACATATAGCATTTGAAAACAGAAGATCATACTAAAATAACACTATACAGGTCGTCCCACGGGTTTGTCACACGGAGGGAATAGTAGATTGTTAACCGAGGGTGGAAAAAATCAATTCCCGAGGTATTTAGGCTATAGTCCGAGTAGGAATTGATTCTTTTACCCGAGTTAAACACTGTACTTTTCATTTCGAATATGAGGAAAATAAAACTAGTTGTTTAACAAAAATATTTATTCATAAATAGTTATATATATACCATAAAATTAGAAGTAGCTATTTAAAATTAATTATCATATTAGGACAATTACTGAAATTAAAAGTAACATTCTTGTTTGAAACTATGCTGTTTGATATAATATTACAAATTTGGCTGTTTTGGATATCTGTAAAAGTAGGACACTCTGTTATTTCATCAAACGATGGATTCCATGGCGGATACTCCCTGGAAGTTGTCTGCTGAGGCGAATTGTAGGAGCCTGTAGTTTGCTAGACAGTCCATTAAAATATGTAAGAAATACACTTTCGGAAAACGATTTTATATTCTTCTCTGCTCACCACTTTATAAAATCATTGTATGTATTTATATATCTCTTTTTTAACATTTCTGGCAAAATATTCTCTATAACACAATTTGCCTCGTCTTTAATTGAATCCGGTGTCAACATTTCTGAATCGCTTGAACTCATTTTTAATATTCAAAGTTGGATTGCTCTGTTTTACTTAAAAGATTATTATTACTATTTTTTTATTCCATCACATAACAGATGCATAACAGTTTAGTATCCCGCCAATTTATGTCGATTTTTTAAATTTAAATATGGAACAGCGTAATTGTTGCGGCTTATTCCGCTCAAAGAAGTTTGTGCTAAGTTCACACTGGCTGTTTAGAAACTCACATGGCGGCAGCATTTTTTTTTACAAAAAACTTCACGCCTGACAGTAGTTCTATTTTTAAAGTTCATTCCGGCCCTTAGGCGGGAAGTAATTTGTATGAGTTTTTCCCTCTCTAGAGAGGGAAGCAGCATTTTCCACCCAACAAACAGATCAAAACAACACCACTTTCCGAGAATGAGAAATGAAAAGTATATTTTAATATTGAAGATAGGATTTTTTACTGAAAGAAGACATCATTTTATTTTTAATAATAAGAAAAGCTGCATTCACCGTTTAAAAAAATAGCCTGTCAAAACCGGGAATCAAACTCGTGAAATGTGAGCAAAAAAACACATGACGTATTTTATGATAACAATCGAAAGGATTATTCATAAGGATTCGTTCTTCCTAATAACATAGCATTTTAAATAAAAGGAAGATCATGAAATCTGGCGATTTAAAAAAAATCTATGAATGCAATTCTAGTTATTATTAAAAATAAAATGTTGTCTTCTTTCAGTAAAATATCCTATCTATAATATTTAATATACTTTCTCTGAGGAGCTCGATGGCGCAAGTGGTTAGCGCGTTCGGCTGCTTTCGTTGAAGTTTAAGCAACTTTAGGTCGGTCATTGGATGGGTGACCAAAAATTTACTATCTCGAGCTCCTCCGTGCTTCGGAAGGCACGTTAAGCCGTTGGTCCCGGCTGCATCTGCAGTCGTTAGCACCCACCAATCCGCACTGGGCCCGCGTGGAGGGTCATGCCCCAATCTCCTCTATTCCATCCATAGGGAAGGCCTGTTCCCTAGCAGTGGGGACATTAATATGCTGATGATGATGAATATTTAATATACTTTCTCTCCGTATGATAAAACTGTGGGACGCCCTGTATAACAAAATCTTTGGTGGTGTTGCTTCTACGGGATAGGAGATTAGGTTCAGACTAAGGTTGGTCTGTTCTGATAACCATAAAAAAAAATTATTTATAAAAAAATAAATCCTAATGAATGCCACTTTTTATGTTTGAGGACTGCTATCTTCGTGACTGAACCACCTGATAGTAAGCGGTCGTCGTGGCCCATGCACGATTGTACGCCTACAACACCAGGAATACCAGACGCGCGTTGTAGATAGACTTGCTAGATAATAATAATAATAATAATCTTTATTTTTGAACCATGACGTATACATTATAACAATTTAGCGTTAACAACCGTAGTAGTCTAAGACTGTGTTACAGTTATTAGCGCCCACCTCAAAAGACAGGCACATTACAGACATGATTTGAAACAAAGTGTTTATAATACATTACACTGTGTGTGTTTGTGTGTGTGTGTGTGTGTGTGTGTGTGTGTGTGTGTGTGTGTGTGTGTGTATGTGTGTGTATGTGTGTGTGTGTGTGAGATGGCCGGGAAATCCGGGATTGTCCCGGAATTTTGCGTTTCATCCCGGAATTTTGCGACTTGTCCCGTGTCCAGTAATTAGACCATATTGTCCGAAACTAATAGCGAATGACACCGCTAGCCTGCTTGATATTTTAATTTTGACGACCTCGGTGGCCGAGTGGTTTGTACGCCGGGTTTTATGGTGGCGCCGACTCGAGAGGTCCCGGGTTCTAATTCCGGTGGGGGCAAATGTTTGTGTGATGAATACGAGCATTTGTACTCCAGTCATGGATATTTAATATGTATTTCTATATAAATGATCTTATATATGTACAGGTATATGTATACTATCCATTACCCTAGCATCCCATAACACAAGCCTTATAGTGCTTACTTTGAGGCTAGGCTAATTGGTGTAAAAAAAATGGGGGGGGTGATAGATGGTTTGATTTGATGCTTTATTATTTTAGAGGAGAGGGTGCAGATGTCCCGGAATTGATAACCCAGCATCCAGCAAACCTAGTTGCGGACCCTTACTAATATAAACTTATTTACGCTTCTTTTGAAGAAACCATTGCCATCACGGAAAAACATTAACAGGCGAAATATTGGTAGGTATAATTTTGTAAACCTGTTGATGAAAAAAATATCGTTGAATAATTAAGCAGATGTTTTGCAAATTTAAAAATAACAATCAGACGTAAAGTATTTGCTGTTAACAAGTGTGCCAAGGGCAACGTGCGTGCAGTTTGCAGTGTTCATAAGTCATAACTCATTTCTTTGCAATCGTGGGTTCCATTTCTTGGAATGCTTGATGGGACTGTTAAGGGGCAGACTGCGTTAACGTAACTTATGATTTAAGGCCTACCTTTTTGAACTTTTTCAGTAACAAAATTGAGTTTTCCGCGTGATTTTTATAAGCAGTTATAATTTTTTTTTATCGAAGTGAAACTTCTTTTCGGTCTAAGTGTAATTGGAAAAAATCCTAAAGGAAATATAAAACAGAAATGCGTCACAAGCGTCACACAACTACTATGTAAATAAATGAGTGTGTGTTTGTGGGATGCGTGCGCAGATCTTCCCGACGAGTATGAAAGTTGCAGGATAACTCGTTGAAGGCTGAAACGCTACGAATGTCAA